AAGTGATGTAAGACATTTGCCTGTTGTTTCCACTGAAAGATCTTAACTAGAGTGTCTGTTGTTCCCATTGTTGCACAACCCTGCAACCACACAAGTTGTTTCCAATGTCCTACAACTGTGAACCGCACTTCAACCCTAAACTTTAAACCCTGAACCCTAAATCGTCAGCCGGCGGTCTACCTACATCCATAGCTCTGAAGACTACGATCTTGCGAGCCTAAACGTAAGGTTTTCAAAGTCCGAACCCCAGCTGCGACTCTTCAGGTCCTTAGAGTGAGGGCCCTAAGGGCGCTAGGGCCTAGGGTTGAGGGCTTGGTGAAGGGTTGAAACCATGGGCCCCTCGTAACCTTGGGATCCCTAAAGACCTACTACTAGGACCCAGAGTAGGCCCTCATTCCCTTTTTTGAGGCTTCAGGTTCCCTTATAAGCCCCTTTAAACCAAAAAGGGCACCCTTTTTATTCCTAGGCTACTCTTGGGTCTAGACTATATACACCCTATTTAGGCTCTTAAGGGTCCCGAGAGCTCCCTCAGAAAGGCCTAAGGGTCCATATTAATTAGGGGCCCATACTTCTAAGCTTAGGCTTGGGCTCCTTTTAGGGGTACTATAAGAGATCTATAGGGGTACTATTATATATGGGACCTTAATAATTAGAATAGGGTTTTGTAACTATAATGGGGGGTCTTAAATTGGGTGCCTCGGTCCGCTAAGTCGGGAACTTTCCCGAAGCATTGGCTTCGATTTCATGGCCCGGAGGTCAGGTTTCGACTGTCTGCCTCGGGGTTGCGGCTTTAGCAGGGGCTACTTGGAGGTTCATGGGTAGTTGTAAGTAGGGTATCTGTGCATATAGCCCATATTAGGGGATTTATAACTTATAACCCCACTTATAACTACCCATGAGCCTCCAGGTACAGTTACAGTAACAGTTACAGTTTCAGGGCATAGGGTCCGGAGTTGGGGTTCTTTGCTTAGGCCGCGCTGAACCGTAACACTCAACCTTGTACCTCGTGCTCCAGATAATGCCCGTGGGCATGCATTGGTGAGCTCAATTTTAGGGACCCAACAAGCACATAAGCATAAGCATTTTATAGGGATATCCCTACCTTATTGGGCTTCATTATAAGGGGGTTTATATGGGATATCCCTATCCTAGTTTTTGCTTTTGTGCTTTTTTGGGGGCCCTACAATTTGGGGTGGACCCAGGGCCCCTGAGGCACCATGAATTTCATATCTCCTGACGCCCAGATGGGGGTTTCCGAAAATAGGGGTACCTTATTTTGGGTTCCTTATAATAAGGATCCTACTATTCAGGGTTCCATATTAGGGTCCCCTGTTTTCGGAAACCCCCAGATGCACAGTGTAGAATCCTACCGACATGAACCCCAAGCCCTGAGCCCCGAAATTTCGAATCCCTCAATGAGGATTGTTGTTGAGTTGCCGAGTTGCCTATTCCCTGCGACCTTTACAGCCTACTTGGAGGATCACGGGACTTAGTAAGTAGGGTCATAAGTACCTTAATTGGGGTTATAAGTAGATATAACTATAGTTATACTAAGCCCCATGATCCTCTAAGTAGTGTTGCGTGTTGCAACAGAGAGGAGCGTGGCAGCGCTAAGAAAGGAACAGGGAAGTGCCTAGGCCCCATGGCCCAAAAGTTGAGCAGCTCAGTGGGTTCCCTTTGACCTTTCCAAATTTTGTTCTAATTACCACAAATAATAGAGGTTGAACCTGTTTTACGGGTATAATAGGCCCCGAATCATTATTCTAATTATTAAGGCCCCTATACAAACCTTATCCTTACGAAGTATAGTATTCTAGGCCCCAAAGCACTATTCTAATTGTTAAGGCCCCTATATAAATGGAACTGGCTACTTGGGAATACAGCCGGTCAGATCCTGACTTACCAAGAGCCTCCGAATGGGTGGACTCGACGTGCTGCAGCCTTGGCCCCTCTTGAGGAAGGTGGCTGCCGGAGTCCTTCGGAAAAATGAGCAGCCCCCGTGCCATGTGCGGGTGCGCACGCCCTAAGGGCGATGACTTTTCGAACTCTCAGCTCGGAACTTCTCTTGAAAAAGGAAGACTTGTGTACATTGAGGGTTTGACGTCTTGGGTCGAGGGGCTTAGCGGGTTCCAGTTTTAAGGCCTCAGAGCAGGTTTAGGTCTCAGGGTTGCGGGCTTGCACACTGCTCTAAAGCCTCTCGTTAGTATTTGTAGCTGTTGCCGTCGTGTGGCATAGTAGTAGCAGTAGTAGTAGTAGTAGTAGTAGTAGTAGTAGTAGTAGTAGTAGTAGCAGTCGTCGTCGTAGTAGTGGTCGTGGTGGTGGTGGTGGTGGTGGTGGTGGTGGTAGTAGTAGTAGTAGTAGTAGTAGTAGTAGTAGTAGTAGTATCAGCAACAGCAACTCCAAGGCCTAGTCGTGTAGAGGCATGTGCAACTAGAAGAAGGCTGTGGAGGTGTATGAAACTGATTGTAGCCATGGAAGGTGATGCTACTATCAATGGCTCAGAAGCCATAAATATGAGTGTAGGCGCTAGCCTGGAAAACTGAGCTGAGATCAAAGGCAGCTTCCCACGATAGCTTTTGGGCCCTTGTTGCTGCCAGCGTGAGCGCGTTTACAGCCTTGGGCAAAGTCTTTGGTGCACTGCGTGACGTCGTCTGACCCCTAAACCCTAAATCTTCATAATCCTAAACCCCAAATCTTCATAATTAGTTGAAGATCCTGCGACCCCAGCTGCCGTTGCAATCATTTATTCTGGTTGAACTCCAGGAACAACTGTCTTCTGCCGTGATTTTCCACTGCGAAGAAAGGGTCCCTCCTTCCCGGGTTTCTTCAAACGAAGAGACTCGCTGGACCCCTGGCAGAAGGAGCCCTTCACTGCGGAGCTCCACAACCCCTTGTGTCCTTATTGGGTTTAGGGTTTCGGGTTTAGGGTTTAGGAAGGGTTTAGGATTTAGGGTTTAGGGTTTAGGGAGGGTTGTAGGGTTGAGGATTTAGTGTCCTTATAAACAGCCCACTTATAACCATCATTCGACCCCGAAGCCCTGATTCGGAGCCAGTGGTGGGTTTCTGGGTCACTGCTGCGACAGGTACATTTCAGCCGGGAGCAACACAAAAGAGGATCTCAGTAGGCACCTGCTCTTGGCTCACGGTTTTCCCACCTGGCTTAGAACACTTGTAGATTCAGCACATGCGTTGCTCCTGACCATGACTCGTTAGATACGTTAGTTCCAATCATTTGAATCGTTCTTCTACTACGCGAAAGGCAAAAAAATGTCTGCGACCTCGAGATTCGTCTACTCAGCTGCTGGTTCTGGAAGTCTCCGTGTTTAGCGCAGGATCTCAGGTTGAGGGTTAGGGGGGAAAGATTCTAGTGCAGACAGACAGGCAGGCAGACAGACAGACAGAAAGACACGCACGCACAGGGGTTTATGTGTGTAAATATATACACACACATAAAGAAGCTGTTGTGTATATACACACAATGAGCCAGACGCTCACATAATGTATTGCTTCGGGTTGTGGTGATGGTGTGCAACTGACAGGGTTCAAACATCTACCCGCAGCTGGATATGAGCACCGTGGCGTTAAAGAAAACGAGTCATTACGTATGGTCCTCATATACAACGAGGCTAAAAGTCATCGTAAGCCAAGAGAAAGAACAAAGCAAGAGCACAAGTAACAGCTCAGGTGTCGATATCAGTGTTCGACAGCAGAGAAACAAAGAGGGAAGGACCTTGCAAATGCTGTCAGAAGCTCAATGCGCTATCTACGCGTGCTGAAGACGATGCTGCTAGCGGCGATTTGTGGTAAACGATGTTGATGCTGGTGATGGTGATGAGGACGATGGCGACGATGATCATGATCATGGTCATGATGATGATGATGATAATTATGCAGCCGGGAGCGCAAGCAGAAGCATAGCAGAGAAATTAACACTAGCATCAGCATGTTTGTAGTAGCGACAAGAAAGCCATGCCGGCAGCCTGCTACCGCTGCTTCTACTACCCCTGCTGCTGCTACTGCTGCTGCTACTGTTACTCTGCTACGACTACGGCAGCAACGACGACCACGACTACCTCCACTACCCTACCACCTACCACCAACCGCCTCGTGCCTGGCGCCTACTACGACTACTTCCACTACCACTGCCGCTACCACTCCACTACCGCTACCGCTACCACGACCACTGCAGCTACCACTACCACTACTGCTACTATTCCTACTACAACTGCTACTACCACTACTTCTTCTTCTTACTACTGCTACTACTACTGCTGCTACTGCTGCTACTACTACTATTACTACTTCTGGAACTACTACTGCTCCTACTACTACTACTACTACTACTACTACCACTACCGCTACCACTACCACTACCACTACTACCACTATCACTACGACTACTACTACTACTACTACTACTACTACTACTACTACCACTACAACGACGACAACAACAACAACTACTACTACTACTACTACTACTACTTCTAGGTCTACTACTACTACTACTACTACTACTACTACTACTACTACTACTACTACTACTACTACTACTACTACTACTACTACTACCGCCACCAGAGTTTCCCCGCAGGGGGCCCAGCGGGACTGTATACACAATGTGATCTGCGTTCAGAGTTTACAGGCGAAATCTAATTTAACTATCCACCGGAAGCTGCGGAAGGCGGGAGCGCCGGGTGGCAGGCTGCACTAACCAACTCTCTTCACTGCGATAGTAAGAACGCAGCAGTACCACGCTGTTTGCGGAATCAAACCATGCATAAACACGTTATGTACATATATCTGTATATACACACACATAAATGTGTATATATATATATATATGTATGTATGTATGTATATATATATATATATATATATATATATATTTATTTATGTATACATATATGTGTATGTATGTAAACATACGTATACATATGTGTATATCTATATACAAATACATATATATATACACACACACATATCTGTGTCATGGGCAGGAGTGTGAGGTGCCCGGCGATGTAGCCGGGACCTCAGGGAAGCGGTCGACGGAAGATCAGCTCTTGGACGGTTTGGGGTGACTTCAACGTTTATACTTGGAGGTTCAGGGGTAGTTTTAAGTAGGGTTCCCGCAGACGGATCTATAGGGCTATAGGGTTTAAGGATTGGGGTTTAAGGTTCATGGGTAGTTCTAAGTAGTGTTATAAGTAGGGTAACTATACTTTTAGCCCATATCCTATATTAGGGGCCTTACAACCCCACTTAGAACTACCCTTGAACCTCCAAGTAGAGTTCTGGAAAGGCTTGCGTCAGGTTTTGAGGCAAGCCATACACATGCATACCACCTAGAAGCTCGACTGGCATCAGTCTTCATCCCTTGCAGACAGTTTGCGCAAGCCATCTCGGGTCCAGCTGGCCTAATATATGTCGGTGGTCTCTTCATAATTTGGCGTTTCTGATGTAAGCGTCTGTATATACGGATCCTTAGTATAGGGCCATACTAGTCAGTATCAACCGATAAAGAGATCACCAGCCTGTTTAAAGTTGGCCTGTCTTTGTTGAGGCGGATTCTGGGTTCCAGTTGCAAATCGACCCAACGGCTGTAGGGGCCGTTAAAGGGATCTACAGGGGGTTCAAAAAGGGTTCCTTTAAAGGGATCTAATACTATAAGGGCTAAGTATAGGGGCCTAAATAATTACCAATACTATTGTGTCTGGGCTCCTTATTATGATTATTGGCAAGGACAAACCCAACAACCCTATTCCAATTATTAAGGCCTCTATATTGGAACCATGGATCGCGAAGCTGGGGACGGAGACTATGGCAAACCGATACTCAAAGTTCTTGGGGCCCTTAATTAAACAAGCTGATATCAAACTGTGTGCATACAAAGCAACCTTGCTTCAAAGCAACATACCTTGTTCCTGGCAGCTGACAGTCAGGAAATATCGATTCCTTCCTGTTCGCTCATGAAACCAAGACACAGTGGCGAGCGGATATCCACAAGCTGCACATGATAAACGTCTGTATAACCAGCCGTCCACACATCAGGATGGGTTTCGAGGTTGTAGACATGAAGGCTTTGAGAGTAGCATACTTGGGACCCACCCTAAGCCCCGAAACCTTTCAACCGTAAACCCCTAAACCCCGAAACCCTAAACCCCAAACCCCAACCCCTAAACCCCGAAACCCTAAACCCCAAACCCCAACCCCTACCCCGAAACCCCAAACCCCAACCCCTATACTCTATGAGTTCAGGAGACCTACGCCACCGCTATCCTTGCGTGCCTCTCCGGCCGAAAGTGGCAAGCGGGGCTGCATGCTCAGAGCCTCCGGGTTTGTAGGGTTTTTGGGGTTTAGGGGTTTGGGGGTTTAGGGTTCGAGGGTGTTTGAGGGTTTGGGGGGTTAAGGGTTCGAGGGTGTTCGAGGGTTCGGGGGGTCTAGGGTTTGAAGGTGTTTGAGGGTTTGGGGGGTTTAGGGTTTGAAGGTGTTAGAGGGTTTGGGGGTTTACAGGGTTTGAGGGTGTTTGGGGGGAGGGTTTGGGGTGTAGGGGTTTGGGTTTAGGGTGATGGTGTTAAGGGTTTGGGTGCCCTTTCTAGAATCCTTTCTGCTTTATGCAGCGGAGAAGTAGTGGTTATATAGTGCTGACAGTACACGGCACAGGGCAGTTGTTGTGTCTCGAGACTCACAGCTTTAGCTGTGCATATCTTCTTCTTTCTCCCGCAGGTACGGTTGAAGTTTTCATTGTTGAAACCAGTTTGATGATTGTTGCAAGTGTTCAACCGGAGAATGACCGCCATCGCTTGTCATGCACGTAGGGCTTTGCTTGTCCAGGGGAGATCTAAGGTTGCAGGATTTCTCGTTAGGGTTTAGGGTTTAGGGTGTAGGATGATTGCCCAAACTGGATCCCCACACAGCAAAATTCCACATAGCTCAACACCCCGGATCCTCGAAACACAGAATCCAAAAAGCCTTCACAACTTGAACCGCAAAACCTGAAGCTCAACGACCAAACCTCTACCCTAAACCGACTATGCCCTACTTGGAGGTTTAGGAAGTGGGAGTATAAGTCCCGAAATATGGGTCATGAGTATAGTTGCCCTACTTATAGCCATACTTATAACTACCCTAAACCCTAATCCCCAAACCCTATAACCCTATAGATCCCTTTAAAGGAACCCTTCTCATAACCCCACTTATAACCACCCATGGCGCTCCAAGTACGGCCTGCATGGTTCATAGGAGGCCAAAAGGGGTTTCAGTCTATGGGGATTTAGTAAGGATTAGGGTTCCCATAATAGGGTTCATATTAAGGAATCCCTACCCCAAGAATCTTAAACCCCCCTTTTGGCCTCCCATCAATGGTCCAGGCTACAGCTTCTCGATGAGATGCCTCAGAGGGAGCTCGAGCCAGACTCGCTGACCTACGGTGGGCCTGGTTTTGATGTTTAGGATTTGGGTTCGTGTCTGGTTAGTGTCTGGGTTGGGTTGTGCGTGCTGCGTGTCCGGTTCGTGTCCGTTTCGGGCCAAGTTTCGGGTCTGGTTCGTATTTGTGTTCGTACTTGGATTCGTGTTTGGTTCGTGTTTGGGCTTCGAATTTGGTTCGTGTCTGGTTCTGATCTGGATTCGTATTTAGATTTGGTTGGGATCGTACCTATTTCGTATTCGGTCGTAAATGGAATTCGTATTTGGGCTTGTAATTATTTATATGGAAAATATGAAATTACGTAAGCTAGGGTTTAGGGTTTACCTGTAGCCGGAAAGACCGACCTTTTTAGGGTTCCTTCTTATGGTTTCTATATATAGTTCCTTAAAAAGGTAGGTCTTTTCGGCTACAGGTAGGGTTTCGGGATTATACTCGGGATCCCTCTTCTGCGCGTGAGTGGGAGTTTGGGGTTTAGGGTCGGGGGGCTTCGGGAGTAGGGTTCAGGGACTTCTGTTGACGTGTTAGGCAGGAGGTAGGGTTCCGCTTTGCTCATGCAAGGGTGTGTCTGCCGGGCTTGGCGCCAAAAACCTCAGCTTCACCGCACGACCTGGCTTATCAAACCTAAACATTACCTGTAGCCGAAAAGACCTACCTTTTTAAGGAACTATATATAGAAACCATAAGAAGGAACCCTAAAACGGTAGGTCTTTCCGGCTACAGGTAAGGAAAAAGGGTACCCTTACTATTAGGGGCTGATGACTTCATCCCAAGCCCTGAAACCCGAAGCCCTGCATGCGACAACATAATTGCCAAGGTTTGGGCGAAGGATAGGGTTGTTGGGGCTTCGTAAGGAGAATATAGGGCCTCAACAATTACCTATACTATGTTGGGGGTTCCTCGCTATAATTAAAGTATAATATACTCCGAAACCCTATTCTAATCATTAAGGCCCGTATATTATAGCGTTTAGGAGCGCAGAAGGCTGTTTGAATCATGGCCTTTGGGATGTAGCGTTTCCGCCTCGTAACCAAATCGCCCTCTGGTATCCCCCGGAACCCTGTCCCACCGTGTTGCCATGGTCGTCTTGCCATTCCTCAAGTTGCCTTAAATCTGAAGCTTCCCGGTTTTACAAAGCTAATAAACCCAAGCCCTGTACCTAGCAGCCTGGACCCTGAAAACTCAAAGTCCTAACCTTACCAGCAGCCTCGAAGCTGTAGACCTAAGCCTTAGAACACTCAACGTATCGAACCCAAATACCGCACTATGAACCAGCCTTGTCCCTTTTCATGGTTCCTCCAAAAGAATAAACAGACCGGCTAGCAGACCTTCTTAGATAATAAAGGGATATAGGTATAGGGCTCTGTCTGTAGTTCCTAAAAGGACAAGGGTGCTCTGAACTCTAAACCCCGAGCCGCTTTATGAACCTAAGTTAGTTGAGAAGTCCTCACTGGCCCTAAGCCCCAAGCACGAAGCCCTGAAACCCTCAACGGTTTAGGGTTTGGGGTTTAGGGTTTAGGGTTTAGGGTTTTAGGGTTTAGGGTTTAGGGTTTAGGGTTTAGGGTTTAGGGTTTAGGGGTTTAGGGGTTTAGGGTTTAGGGTTTAGGGTTTACAGAACCCTACTAGCCCTGAGTTCCGGTTTTGCAGCCAGGAATGCTGCTCCATGCGTGCGAGCAGCGCGGAGCAAGTGGCAAGGAGATCGGTCCTTAGCACACTTGTGCCCAAACCCTAAAGGGAACTCCAGAAAGTTGGAATATGGATTACTGGTAGGATCCCCTATAATTTACCTTAAAGCGGTTACGATAATGATATTCCAACTTTCTGGCTTCTACTGTAAACCCCGAAAACCCTGTAACTTACATACATATAGTAATCTTTTTGTTTGTTCACACACCGATGATGATGGCCGAGGGTTGCAGTAGGGCTGTTACGGTTTTAGGGTTTAGGGCTTCGGGGCTGGAAGCAAGGGTTTGTCTCTTCGTAGTATCCCCTTCACCCCTCCCTAAGCCCGAAACCCTAAAGCCCTAAAGCCTAAACCCTAAACCCTAAACCCTACGCCCTGAAAGCCCTAAAGCCTAAACACTGAGTCTGTTCAAGGTTTGCTTAAAGTCGAGCTCAGAGCTTCCGGCACAGGGTTTCTAGGATTTTCGGCTCAGAGGGTGCAGGATGTATAGGAGTTTATGGAGTCAGGGGTTCATAATATCCTGGGGATCCAAAAACCTACCGTTTTAAGGGTTATACCCTCTAATTCAGGGGTCATAACCCTACTATTTTGTAAAGTTTGGGGATACAGGATAGGGGGGGGGATAAGGAGTTTGGAGCCCTAAACCCTAAACCCTAAACCCTAAACCCCCACCCTAAACCCTAAACCCTAAACCCCCACCCTAAACCCTAAACCCTAAACCCTAAACGAGGGCTGCTGGAGTTCAGGATTTCGTTGTCAGGCTCTGGTTCCATGGTCCTAACCTCGCAGCTTTGGCAGTCTGTTGGCTCTTCGGGCTTCATTCAACGCGCAATATAGGGGCCTAAATCATTACCAATACTATCTTGGGGGTTCCTTGTGATGATTTTGGTATAATAGGCGCCAGAACTCGATTCTAATTATTCAGGCCCCTACAGTCTGTCATATCCGTCGATTCGGCTGCCACCTCTGCGCGGCCAAAAGCAAGCTAAAGCCCAATGTTTTGAATTTATATACTCATCTACGATATGTTACTACTACATACTATATAGTTTATATATTATATACTACTACATACTATATAAAGTATATTACACTATAGTACTACTCTTACTAGTAGTCCACCCCCCTCCTCCCACCAGTCTTTCCCTCGCAGGTCGGAGCTTGCTAGCCACCTCGCCATGCGCCGGGCAGGAGGCTACGGTTGATGATATAAATCCTGCATTACCCATAAGAAGGAATGTACCATAAATCCCATAGTTTAGGAGGGTCCTTAAGGTAATGCAGGTTTTTTGTCGTCAACGGAAACGGGGGCTTTGCTTTGGGCTCGGGCGTGGCACCAGCATAATCCTTGCAGCCAAGGGTGCTAACATGGGAGTTTCCGAAAATTGGGGGTAGCATATTAAAATTTAGAATAAGGATCCCCTGCTATTTAGGGTACTATATTAGGGTCCCTTATTGTCGGGAACTCCCAACTAGATCGGAGTGTGGTTTGTTTTATACGAGGCTGAGCTTGTCGCAGGCTGGAGGCTTCTCCAGCATCCCAGAGGGGGGGTGGGGTTGCAGCACTGAGACATAGTAGCCGAAAAGACCTACCTTTTTAAGGAACTATATATAGAAACCAGAATAAGGAAGGTCTTTCCGGCTACAGGTACAGGCAGCAAGATAGGCGTCTCTAACGTCCAGCCATATTTATCCGGGGAGTTGGGCTCCCCTGGTCGGTCCTGAAAGTTTGTTCTAAACATTTCTGGTTCATAAGTAGAATCCTATGTTCTAAAGCCTCGAAGCTTAAATCAACGTACTAGACACCTAAAGCCTTACCATAAGACCTTGAAGCCCTAAAAAACCGAAGCCTCTGAACCTTACAGTAGAAGCCAGAAAGTTGGAATATTATTATCCTAAACCCGTTATGGTAAATTATAAGGTATCCTTCCCTGAAACCATATTCCAACTTTCTGGAGTTCCCTGTAAGCCACGATTCCGAACCTTAAACCACGATTAAACTCTGCAGGCCTCGCCAGCACAAGCAGAAGCACACAGGTCGCGGACGAGGACTTGTGGTTCCTTTTTGAAGGGTTCCTTTAAAGGGGTAGGGGTTCCTTTAAAGGGGTAGGAGCCTTAATAATTAGAACAGAGTTCCGTGCAGCTACGCCAGAGTTTGTTGCAGAGCTTCTGTGTCTATGCTTTAGGCGAAGACCACGGACATTTTGCATTCATGCAACATTCATTCATGCGTTTCGGGAACCTGCTCGTGTTTATGCATGTGTGTGTGCATGTATGCATGCAGGTTTGCATGTATGTCCACATGTAGGTGCGTAGGCATGCATGGATGGATGTATATGTATACATCTATGCAGTATCTAGGTATGTATGCGTATCCTGGTGTCCAGCTTTTATGAGCGTATGCATATATGCATGACAACTCAAGCAAGAGCCGCATCATGGGGCATGACTGTGTATATCCTCATCCGGCTGACCTCCAAGACGGGGTGCAGTCGCCGAGGACCTGGGGTGGTTCATTGTGAAGCGTCTCCAATACGAAACCAGTTTCCCGAGTAGTGCCCGTTTGCACTTTCTGTTTTACGGTTCCCTTATGAGAAGTGAATACCAGGAAAAAAGGATACTTTTTTTATAAGGGTTTCGGTTCCGTTATAAAAAGTGAATACCTGGAAGAAGGGTATGAGGGGACACTGGGGAACCTGGGAAATCGGTACCCGCCGCGGAAGCTGCAGGATGAGGAGGAGCTTGACGAGGACGAGGAGGAGGAGATCGAGGCCCCTACTCCCTAAACCCAAAGCCCGAAACCCTAAACCCGATGCTATAAACCTAAATCAAATTTTTGTTGAGATAAGGCCTCCTGGTTGAGGTCACAGGTGAAGTTCAGAGGCCATCAAGGACTGTAGTGTGTAGGGTTTAGGGTTCAGGTAGGGTTTAGGGTTTCGTGTTCAGGGTTTAGTGGGGGGCTTCCGGGACTGTAGTATAGGGCCGGAGTGGGATTCCGAGAGTGCCCTTGCATCGAGGCCGCCGTGCCCAAAACCCGATCCCGACGCGGCGCGGCCAGCGAGGAATTTAAGGCCACGTTGCGAGACTTGCCGCTGCTTCACGCATTCTGATCCCGCTAGTGCTGCATAGCGCAGTGGTGGTTTGCAGTTTTTTGTTATTATTGGTAGTGTTATGAGCATTGTTATTATTAGTATCGTTATTAAACTCGTATTACCAGTAGAGTTGTCCTTAGTATTCTTGCTAGCCATCACGACGAGACTTCTTTGTGTCAGCAGTATCCCGAGGCAGGGCTAGCGATGTTCCGAGCTTGAGGTATAGTGACCATGCATGTGAGGCGCCATACATTGCAGGGTTTTGGAAGCGCAATAGTAACTAACCATCATGATAATACGTTTAATCATAAGCATAGTCAACGTCATTATAATCAAACCCATAGTCATAGTCATAAAGATACGAATAATCCTAATCAGAGTCATAATCTTATAATGACAAAAACAATAGTATCAACAACAGTGGTCCTAAAGCCACTAGAAGGCACTTGGGCCCCAGGGCCAGAGTGAAGCCCTTGGGGCACAGGTCCGGCATCCTGCCCGACAATCTTCAACTACAGTAGATGGTTTCGTATAGGGCTTAGGGTTTCGGGGCTTGGGGGTTTGGGGGTTTAGGGTTTCGGGGTTAAGGGGTTTGGGGATTTCGGGTTAATAGGGGGGCAGGCATGTCTTATCTACGCCTCACATATGTTGGTACATGTTTGTGTGTGAAGTCCAAGGCCCTGAAACCCGGAAGCCTTAAATCCATGAAAAGCACCGAAACTTGTAGACCCCCGAGAATTAACCTCTGTTTCCTTCTCCTGCCAGCCTATCCCGTGCACATCGGCGATGAACGCACAGCGGGTCAAGGGACGCGCCGGGGCCCCGCTGTCGTCTTCCACTCCATGCAGAACCTGCCTAAACCCTACTAAACCCTAAACCCTGAGACAGGCCATTGCATCTTAAAAAAAAACCCTAAACCCTAAAGCTTGGGCCTACGCTTGTGACGGGCACTTGGGGCAGGGTCTCATGGCTCCAAGCCATCTTTGCCGAAGGCAGCATGCATGGAGCTTCTCTGAGCCGCATGTGGTCAGAAATCGAAGCTGCGGGTGCATGCGCGGTATCTGCCTTCAGGTAGATTTTTTTTTCTAAACCCCCAAGCCCCAAACCCAAGACACTCCCAGGCAGTTCCTGGGCAGACGCCGGGGCGGATCTCTGCCCTGGTTGAAGCCACTCCGCTACCTCCCAGAGCGAGGCCGGGCTGGACGGTTGCGGTTTGGGGCTAAGGGCTTCGGGACGTTAAGTGTTTAGGATTTAGGTTTTAGCGTTTAGGGGGTTTAGGGTCTACGGGTTCAAACGGATTTAGTATGGGATTTTTGACTATTGTTGATCGTTCCTTTTCCTCTTGGTCGTTCTATGTATGTCCGTGCTATTTTTGTGGGTTCCTTGCTATAGCTATACAGTATATGATACCCCAAGACCCTATTCTATTTAGTACGGCCCCCCAAAAAAGTCCTACTACGATCGCTATCACTGTCTGCAGGCCTGGCCCGCTCGTGCGGTCGACAAGGCCCATTCGTGCCGGCCAGCCCTACTCGAAGGACTCGGCTCGGCTTTCCTGTGCACAACACCGGCATACAAAAGGGCTTTCTAATGCTACAGTGATACACGCACACACTATATCTATCTATCTGTGTGTGTGTGTGTGCATATATATATATATATATATATGTACACCCACATGGGTGTATGTACATATGCATGTATGCATGTATGCACTGATGTCTGTCTGTATGTATGCAGGTATGTATACAGGTATGTATGTATATGCATCCACACATGCATACATGCATTATGTATGGCTGTGTAAGTATGTCCGTATGTATGTACGCATGCAGACATGTAAGCATTTGTTAAGCAAGCAGGGATGTATGGATGTATGGATGTGTGTGTATGTATGTATGCATGTGCTTAATTACTTATTTGTTTTGTGCGTCTCTATGTTCATGTCTTTGTTTATTTACATATGTGAGTGGCCAGGAAGCTGATAGGAGGCTTCAACACGTCATTTGAGACTCCAATCTCACGGGAGGTGGTAAGTCCCCCTCTTCGCCTTTCGATCCCCCTACACTTTTGCTTTTTGCTTGTCATTTCCAGACCCGGATCAGAGGGCCCAAAGTGGCTGCAGAATTCAAGATTTCGGTTTTTCAGCGTTCGAACGGTGTTGGGCCGGTGCGCGGGGCTTTGGAGCCGCGTGCTTTGTCGCGTGCTGTGGTGGGTTAAGGGTTTAATGAGGGCTAGGGCTTGCAGGGTTTGAGGCTTACCGTTCAGGATTTTTAGTCTACAGAGGAATAGGCTTGAAGTGAGGGGTAATTATGTGTGGTAGTTGGTTTGGCAGTGCACTGCTGCCAGCGTCCTCTGCCACGCTGGTTGCCACCAGCGGGTGAGCAGGCGACGAGATACCGCCTCGCTTACGGCAGGTACATCCTCCGCTAGCTTAGGGCTGCAGTGCCTTTCAACCCGTTCCCCAAGCCGCGACAACTGAATCCGAAACCCTATATAAACCCTAACCTAATTCGACATCGTCTCACCAGCGAGCGGTGCCCAACGTCCTCTCGATCTTCAACGACCGGGAGCATCACGCCAGGACAGCGGTTTCGAGTTGGCTTCGGTTGACAGGGGCCTATACGGGTTCTACAAGGGTTCCTTTAAAGGGGTCTACAACGGCTACTATACGGGCGATTATAAGGATTTTGCTATAGGGGCCTCGAAAAATACCAATACAATTGATGGGGTTCCTTGTTATACTTATAGTATAATGGGCCCCCCAAACCCTGTTCTATTTCTTACGGCCCCTACGTTGCGCACAAAACCCTGACCACTTCTTGAGAGTTCAGGGCTTAAAGGGAACTCCAGAAAGTTGGAATATGGTTTCAGGGTAGGATACCTTATAATTTACCATAGAAGGGTTTAGGATAATCATATTCCAACTTTCTGGCTTTTACCCTAGGAGTTTAGGAGGGCCGGGGGATTGGAAAACTGGTGGTTTCAGCGACGACCCGTGGCACCGTTCCATTGAGAGGATCATATGAGCAGGTAGATATGTGGCTTTGCCACAGGTAGGGGCCTAAATAACTACAGCACCAATACTATTTTTGAGGTTCCTCGCTATCATTATAGCAGTAGATGCCCCAAAACCCTAGTCTAAATTACTATTACAGTTTATTATAGTATCATATACTCCCACACCCTATTCTGATTACTAAGGCGCCCACAGTTGACTGTGCATTCAATCGTCCATCGGGTTTGGTTCACGGCTTGCGGGTTTGGGATTCGAACACAATTCCGGGCGACTCGAATCCCTGAGCTCAAGCTAGAGATTCCCGTGAGGTTGTGCCAAGCGCGGCTCGCAGACTACTTCGTTAGAACATCTGGCTTGTCGCCATGGCTGATCGCGAGGTGCTGGCTGCTTTGAACAGCATGCTGCTGGAGCACCTGGCTGCGGCGGGCCTTGAACAGCCCATTCTTCAGGAAGTTGACAGAGCCTTACATGCTTCAAGCGAGTCCTTGCTGATGTCGGATCTCACGAGGGTCTATCAGTGTGGCATGCAAGGACAACTTGTCGTCCGCGGGGCCTTGCTTAGTGGACGCGAATGCTCAATTTCGGTGAACCCATGGACGACGGTCGCAGAAACAAAGGCACTTATGGCGACCGAGCTGGGGATACTTCCCCAGGACTACTCTTTGACAACCAACGAGGAGGTCTTGCTTGGTTCGCAAGCTATCGGAAAGTATGTATCTCCAGTAGGACATGCTCACCTAACCCTCGTCCGCCTCAACGCCCGAGATCTGTTTGCTGAGGAGTTGAATTCAGTCTCGTCCGGCCCCGCCAAGAAGCAGATGATCGGGGAGCGTTTGTATCCCAAGGTTTGCAGGATCAATCCGACTTGGGCAGGCAAACTCACCGGAATGATTCTTGAGATCGACAACGCTGAGCTCCTAGAAATGCTCGAGGATGACGAGCTTCTGCTGACAAAGGTGCACCAGGGTATGCGTATTCTTCGTCAGGCTGGAGAGGATGTCGTATTCGCTCCGAGATCCTGATTCCCTGCTCTCTACTCAGCCACGCTCACCTTTGCTGGCACACGCATCCGATGAAAAGGGATGTCACCTGATCTGAAGTTCGTGTACGGATGCTACAACTATGACTCTTGTTGCGGCTAGTTCTACTGCTGATACTGCTACTGCTACTGCTACTACTGCTGCTGCTGCCGCAGCTGCAGCTGCTGCTGCTGCTGCTGCTGCTACTACTACTACTACTACTAAGACTACTACTACTACTACTACTACTACTACTACTACTACTACTACTATTATTACTACTACTACTACTACTACTACTACTACTACTACTACTACTAAGACTACTACTACTACTACTACTACTACTACTACTACTACTACTACTACTACTACTACTACTCCTACTCCTACTCCTACTCCTACTCCTACTCCTAAACCTACACCTACACCTACTCCTACTGCTACTGCTACTGCTACTGCTACCCCTGCTGCTACTACTACTACTACTACTACTACTACTACTACTACTACTACTACTACTACTACTTCTACTACTACTACTACTTCTACTACTACTGCTGGCTTGACACTAAGTAGGGTTGAGCGTTGAGGTTTGTTGCGATATGCCTGCTTGCCCCATCCAGGAGACGCACAACTTCAAGCTGGCGTGAGCTCTGCCCCAGCTCTCCATCGATCCGATGCTCGTGCTTAGGGGTTTAGGGGGCTTTAGGGTTTAGGGTTTAGGGGGGTTTAGGGTTTAGGGATTAGGGGGGTTTAGGGTTTAGGGTTTTAGGATTCGGGTTCGAAGATAAGACCTTGGATGAATTATCCCAGGCGTCACGAGCTAAACGATTTTTCAATCCAAGATATGATCGATAGAACCAGAGGTATGCAGATCAAGTACCTGTCTGGACAGCACAGACATGCGGGGCGGCGTAGGTCTTTGGATTTGCATATAATGGAATTCTACCGCCTGTAACTCCCAATTTCAATGCAGCTACGCCATGTGACCCCTGTTGCTTCACAAGGCACAGCGCAGACCGTAAAACCTGCAAGGTTGTGAACGCCCTGTTCAGCTTTGGAATCTGCAGAAGCCGCAAGACGCTGCAGCTCAATCAGTTTGGAGCTCGAAAACCTACTATAGGGGCCTAAATCATCACCTACGTTATTTCGGTGGGGTTCCTGTTTAAAACTAAAGCATAATGGGCCCCAAAGTCCTATTCTAATTGTTAAGCCCCCTACAGTATGCCCAGGGGCCCCTAGATTCCTAGATACCACCAAAAGCCACAGGTTCACAGCGAACCCCAAGCAGCAGGAGCTACGCCTGCTGCAGCACGTCGTTGAGAGAGCAGAGCGGGGCAACCCACAGTCCATCTGCGAGGCTTTGGCCACTATAACGGTTTAGGGTTTAGGGTTTTATAGTTGCCTAAATAATTACCAATACTATTTGAGGGCTCCTTCTTATAGTTATATTATATTGGGCCCCAAAACCTTAGTCTTTGTATTAAGGCCCCTTTATTATATTTTTGTTGGATGGCTTTTTGGGGTTGCAGTCCGCACGGGAGCTCAGGGTTTGTGCGCTTAGAGCGGTAAAGTGTTCAGTTCATTTTGCGGATTCTTTAGTGAGTGTCATGGATGTAAGGCATCGGGTTGAAGGTTGCTAGTGGATGATTGGGCTCCCATGCCTCAAGTGGGTAGTTGTCAAAATTATGGCCCCCTTTTGGGTACCCTAAATAGTAGGTGCCGTATTATAATAGGGACCCGAAAAGTGACCATAATTTTGACAACCACCCAAGTAGATGTGCATTAGATTGAAGTTTGCGAACGAGTTCATCAGCAACTAGCCAACTTGGTCCTCTAGCCTGGAGATTGGCCGAGTCCAAGCCTCCAGGTTCTAGGATATATATATATATATATATATATATATATATATATATCTATATATATATATATATATATATCTATCTATATATATATATATATATATATATCTCAAGGTGTCATCTTGATGAGTGTACTTCAAACACGAACAGGTCGAGGCTTGCAAGTCTCCTTGCCGCGCCTTGAGGGCTTCCAAACCTGCCTTGACTATATACGCTTGCCGCCTGGGATGGGCTTCCATGTAGGATTCCCTAGCCGTCCTAACATGTGGGTGGTTGTCAAACTTAAGGTCCCTTTTTTTGGGTACCCTAAATATTAGGTGCCGTATTGTTTTTTCCGGACCCGAAAAGTGACCATAATTTTGACAACCACCCATGTAATGAACGTCTGCGGTCTCGATGATTGTTTGGGGCGGCTAGTGGAGTGATTCTCACCGCATTAAGCATAGTCAAGCAGGCCCTTCGTCTGCTGGGAGCCCCATGGCCCTTGGGTTTAGGGTTTAGGGTACATGGAACAAATCTTGAAGCCGCACCCAGTCGTGTTGTGAACGGTTGCAGCTTTACGAACCTTATACCTTCTCAACCTTCAGTGTCTACTTCGGGCTTCTGAGGGGGCCCGGTGCGTCCACGAATTCTGTAAGATGCACGAAGATCCCTTGACCGCTTGAACTCCCAAGCTTCAAGTGCCCGATGCTTTAAGCGAACATCCCAAAGCCCTATGCCAATGCCCCAATGGCCCTAACCCATCCATCTAAGTTCTGTGATGATCTCTGTCGGCATGAGGGAGCCGGCCTGCTCCATTAGTCTTGCCATTCGTGCTCCATGCTTATTCATGTTCAACAACCTATGATGATTGGGCCCATGATTCGTATTGTAACTATCCTTCTTCGCATCCTGTTACGAACAGAAGAACACTTCTGAGTTTCTTTGGCACGGCATGCAGCTCCATTGTGCTGCTTGGAGGTTCAGGGGCAGTTAGAAGTAGGGTTATACGTAGCGTAACTATACTTATAACCCCTAAAGGGGACTTGTAGCCCTACTTATAATCTACCCATGAACCCTGAACCCTATATCCGAAACCCTCCAAGTAGGTCCCCCTATGAAGATCCCTTCCTGTTGCAGACGATCGAGTCCTTCGGGGATGAAGTCCTGGTTCGAGGGAAAGCGCGGCTGTGGCTCAAGGCCTGCAGTGTGGTTAGATGTTGTTAATATAGGGGCCTAAAAAATGACCACCTCTATTTTGAGGGTTTCTTAATCTTAATATAGTTATAGTTTAATGGGCCCCAAAATCCCATTATAGTTGTTGTTAAGGCCTCTATAGTAGTGAGATGTTGTTATAGTGCTTTGGGGGATGAAGCATCCGGATATTCTAGGGAGCTGCAGTACCTTTAGTGATTGTCTGTGTTCGTACCTCAGCCTCGCTGTTCTGAGAAGCCGATCTCCTCCATAGCTATTCAAGGATCCCTTGTTGGGGAAACCTATTCTAGTTGTAGAAAGTATCCTGTGCTTAACTGGTTCTGCTTGGGCCAACTATGAAGCCTCCGGGCATGAAAAGGTCGAGATGTAAGAAAGAATTCAAGCCAGCTTGCCTTCTCCACCCGCACACTGCAGGGACACAGCTAGCTGCTGGTTCGTGTTTCCTGTCCTACCGTCAAAGGTCCGCAGCTCAAAACCAAGTTCCTGTTTGAGGCAGCCGATGGCTCCCTGGAGCACGCACATCTTCTTAGTGGCACTATAGAAGCCTAAAAATCAGTAGTACTGTTCCTAAGGGTTCCTTTGAATGTACTATGATACACCCGCAAACACTGTTCTGACGATTAAGGCCCAGGGTGTATGAATTCATAGTAACAGTGTAGCACAGTACCCCATGTGGGAGTTTCCGAAGATAGGGGACCCTAACGCAATACCCTAAATAATAGGACCCTGATGATAAGGCCCCAAAACAAGGTACCTCCATTGTCGGAAACTCCCATGTACGAAAAGAGTCGGACCCAGCTGCGGTGAGCAGAAGGTTTTTGCAGTTAGCTAGTTTCCAGAAAAGGATTACGAATCTAATATAGGAGGCTGAAGAATTTCCCTATTGGCTCCTCAAGGTAATGATGAGATTGTGTTGAACTTGCGAATCTAGAGCAAATGCCTGAGGCCGACAGGGAAATCACAGTTCCAGGCAAGCAGCGTGTATGCCCTGCTACGCCAGAAAGCCTTAGATAAACGCACTCGAAGACCTATTCCAATTCCCTACATGGGAGTTTCCGAAAATAGGGGACCCTAATCTAGTACCCTAAATAGTAAGATCCTTTTTATAAGGACCCCCCAAACTAAGGCACCCCTACTTTTCGGAAACTCCAAACCCTTAAAGACCTAAACCCTAAACCTTAAAGCCCCTATATTATCCCCCCTAAATAGTAAGATCCTTTTTATAAGGACCCCCCAAATAAGGTATCCTAATTTTCGGAAACGCCCCTATATTATCCTGGTCCTGTCTCAGATTGCTGGGGGAGTCAAGACCGAAGTGCTGACGGCGGCTGGGTCCTTGGATCCTTCAAGGCTGAACCCTCGAAGCACACTTGGGGGACTTAGTAAGTAGGTAGTAAGTAGACTTCTAAGTACCCTAAAAGGGACCCTAATTGGGGTTTTATAAGTCCCTAAAATAACGAGTTACTAAGCCCCGACCCTCCAAGCAGTCCACCATAGGGCTCCATAGGGTTTAGGGTCTGGGGGCTCCTCCGCTGCGCGGCTCATCGAACTTTCTGCAATCATGTACGAAATCATCGCCATAAAGGACCCTTCCGAGTGTACAGACGTGTTCTGAAGGGGGAAACGAGGGCTTAGGGTTTTGCTGATCGATCAGGCGATGTCTAGTGTAATTAGAAGAAAACTATTCCTTTGGGTTCCGTTCGTAAGTCTCCTAAACATACCCCAAAACCCTATTCTAATTGCTAATGCTTCTATATGATTAGGAAGATTGGGACACAGTCCTTATGGCTTTGTTTACAATGAAGGACCGGTTGGCCACAGCAGAAGACGAAGGATCGACCCCGGCAAGTCATCGTGGATTTCTTGTATACATACGTACATACATACATACGACAAGCGACTCGACAAGCCTTGTCCAGCAATTCTGGCTTTCCAGGCGTTTACTTTGCTGGAGGTGTTGTGACCCTAACCCCCAAGCCCAAACCCTAAACCCTAATCCCCAAACCCTTAAGCCATCAAACCCAAAACCTAAACCCTTAACCCCTAAACCCAAAACCCAAAACCGCCAACCCCTAAACCCTAAGTTCTTAAACCCTTAACCCCTAACCCCTAAAACCCCTAAGCCCTCAACCACGAAACCCCAACCCCACTGAGGCCGTCAAAGGCGGCCCCCTGACTCGTCGGGACCTGCAATGCAGCGCCGTCCCCAGGTGTTTACCTGGGTAGTTTAGGGGGGGGTTAGGGTCCTTATAGGATCCTTAAAGGGATCTATAAGGGGTTAGGGGTTTAGGGTTTAGGGCTTTAGGGGTTTGAGGGCTTTAGGCGTTTCTTTTTTTTTTGGGTTTCGAGTTTCGGTGTTAGGGTTTGGGTGTAGGTTCCACTCTTGGAAATCTTGCGGCCCCTCCTTGGGTGTGGGCTTTAGGGTTTCCGGTCTAGGGGTTAGGGTGTAGGGTTTTGTTCAGGTTCAGGGTGCTAGGGTGTTAGGGTTTAGACCGAGCCCTAAATGCTGCTCTTTCAACCTTATACCTATAAGGTAGACCCAAGAAGGAACTACCATGGAGCCTATGGATTCCAGCACCGTGGGTCAATGCACACTTGCAAAGGTTTCCAAACCGCATCTTGCTTGGGCGTGCACGGACCTTGATCGACACTTTCTACCTAAACCCCGGGAAAAGAAAAATCCTGCACCCTCCATACGTAAAGTTTGAAAACTAAACCTTGCAAGCCCTAATCCCGCACACCCTAAACCTTGAAATCCCAAAGCGCCTGCATCCACAGGCCTCTAAATGCTTCTATCCTGTAAGACTTCCGGAAACTCTAAACCCTTCTAGAGCCCTTTAAAGGAACCCTTATAGTAACCCTTTAAAGGAACGCTTAGGTACCCCTAATGTTCGGAAGCTCCCATACTGTTGATGATATAAAATTTGCATTACCTTGAGAATCCTAAACTCTGGGAATTACGGTATATTCCTTATTATGGGTAATGCAGGATTTATATCATCAACCGTAGGACCTGATCATAGCCGGCTGAGGTGTCCTAGAAGTCGGCGCCTACTGCGGGTACTCTGCCGCTGGGCCGGCGAATTGAGTTTGGGAGTTTCCGAAAACAGGGTCCCCTTAAAGGGATCTAGAAGGGTTCCTTTCAGGGTTCCTACAAGGGATCTTTAGGGTTTAATGTAGGGTTTAATTTATGGTTTAGGGAGTTTCCGAAAATAGGGGGCCCTAGTACCCTTTTTATAAATAGTAGGACCCTTACTATACCCCTAATTTTCGCAAACTCCCAGTTCGCGTCAGGTTTAGGAGTTGCTACGGCTGTACGATTTAACTCTAAACGGTTGACGACACCAACAAAAAAACAAGCCCCTTGACGTGGACCCTGAAGCAGCAGAATGTGAAGTGTAAAGGGTTCAGGGTTTAGGGTTTAGGGTTCATGAATTAGGGTTCAGCGTTGAGGGTTCAGGGTTTAGGGTGTAAGGTTTAAGGTTCAGGGTTTAGGGAGTTTAGGGCTGGCGCCACTTCTGCTCAACTGGACGTCCGGCTGCGGCTAGTCGAGAACAGAGCACTGTTTCGGGTTCAGGGTTTAGGGTTCAGGGTTTAGGGGATAGGGAAGCTGTCTGCTGGAACACTTGGCTGCTTGCTCAGTCCACTCGCATGGCGTTGGCACTTCCGGGCGCCGTTGCCTCAGCAAGTGTCAGGCTTTCTCTACGGGATACTATAGGTTTTAGGGTTTACGATTCTACTATATCATGGCTACTACATCGATTGCGATAGGTACTGTAAAGTTACTGAAACGGCTACTACAAGCACATAGCGTATCAGGCTCCTGTTTCAGGCCTGTCGGATTTGCTGTAGTGGGCTGGAGGGTTCAAGTGCGCGCGTTCGCGCTCAGTTTTCGTCGGCCTTTTGTGTCACATGCAATACGGTCTCTGCACATTGGCCCTTGCCCTCAGCCAGAACCTCGACTGGCATTGTCTAGTGCTCTGTGCAAGTTTCGGATGTTTGGGACGGATGGTTAGGGCCTAGTTGCGACGTAAAGAGTTCGCAGTGACTTTGTAAAAGCTACGACATACGGTTCGAACGGTGTGGCCAAGTGGACGAGCCACAGGCGACTTACACCAAAACGCACGACGAACTCCGCAATGTTAACATGTCTTGATGTGAGATATCATCACCATTGTGTTGCAGAGCTCCAGACTCGAAGCGCCAACTGCGAGCCATCCTGGCTCATTTGGGTATGACTGTTAGAGATTTGGTTTCTGACGCAGGGCTTGCACATTCTGTCTTTGTTGAGTTTAAAGCAGAAGTTTTGGGGGGACATGTTGATGCACCGGAATGTCCGACATGCTTTCATTAGGTCAGACACGACAGACTTGAGCTTCAAGTACCTGAAGTTCTGTCACTGTCGTATCCACGGCTTCGGCTTTGCATCCCATAAATGTCCTTTAGGACGAAGATCAAATCTAAGCCATGGACCTTCATCAAATCCAATGCCCCTAGAGGACCAAAATCAAAAAAAGCTTTACAACCAAATCCAACACTCCTATGTATTCATTTGGGTTTAGGTTCATAGGGTTTAGGGATTCATTTGGGTTTAGGGTTTAGGCTGATTTCTGGAGCTTGAAGATTTCCGCCGCAGCCCAACGTCAGGTTCACATCGCTTCCCTCGAAGTAGATCCTGCCGCTGCCTCGATTAAAGGGAATAAGGAGAAAGTGGGTGGTTGTCAAAATTATGGTTCATTTTTTTTGTGGGTACCCTAAATATTAGGTGCTGTATTATAATAGGGACCCAAAAAGGGAGCCTAATTTTGACAACCACCTAAGTGTCATGTTGAATGGCTGCTGCGAGCTTCCGGTCATCTGGAGGGCTCGGGGCGTTACACAGGACCCCGATACTTGCGACTGCTGTTTCTCTTTAGCCTTAGCTCCTGCGCACTTCGGCATATGCGAAAAGTCTTCCATTCTTCTTTTCCTGTGTACTTTGGGGTTCATGGTGTAACTATGCGCAATCTGCCCCCACTGGAACAAGGTTGGGCTCTTCGGCTTAAGGCGCTAGCACAACGGGGTTGGAGATAGGCAGTGTTCACCTCATTGTCGCAGTGACAAGTGGGATGATACTGCTAATCGTGGTCGTCAATCTTCGCACGGACCGCGGCAGTCCTGGGGCGACATGTTTGCTGCCGAGCCGCCTCCCCACTGTGCTTCTGCACTGCGCTTCTCTTCAACGTACGTGCTTTTCAGCAAGCCGCAGCTAGAGAAGTGCCGTGAGTCTGAAACTACCCCGATTCCTTGTGAGTGGGTGTTTGGAATTTACGTTGCATACCGGAAGGTAGTTGGGGACGGGAGGGAAGGGGTTTTAGGCTGATGTTTTAGCGTGTGCATCATTGTATCACCCAGACCCCCTATCCTTTCAGAGCTGCTCGTGCGTTGGAGGGTAGGGTTTTGCCGGTCCCGAAAGCAATTACTTGCAAAGCACAATAAATCTAGAATCTATATACATATATATGGGAGTTTCCGAAAATGGGGGACCCTAATGTAGTACCCTAGATAGTAGGATCCTTATTATATGGACCCCAAAGTAAGGTACCCCTAATTTTGGGAAATTCCCATATATATGTATATATATATATATATATAAATATATATATATATATACATATGGACACACCCCCCCCCATGACCTACCTCGGCCTCTTTTCCATTGTAAATACCGCCAAAACCTTCTCTTGGCAGGGATTCGCGTTTGGCATACGATTCGTGTTTTGCGTAATTTTCGGGGATGATACCTTCTCTATCATGGCTGATGTGAAGTCATGTCTCTTTACAACGTCGTGCCTACTCGTGTCCGCTTTCAAATTCATATGCCTGTATTCATAAGCAAGAAACATTAAAGAAACCATACGATATGACGGCGGAAACCAAAAAACCAAAAATCCAAAAATCCAAAGCCTTTCTGAGGGGCCCGAAACTTTTGGATTTTTTGGTTTTCCTAGGTCTTTTTTGGTTTTTTGGGCTTTGCCTTGGCGAAACCATGGCTTTTTTTGGATTTTCGGTGGAAAACCAAAAAAACACAAGGTTTTTTTGGTTTTTCTGCTGTGTCTCTCGTGAAAAACAAAAAACACCTGTGTTTTTTTGGATTTCTGCTGGAAAACCAAAAAAACCTTGGATTTTTTTGGATTTCTGCTGGAAAACCAAAAAAACCTTGGATTTTTTTGGTTTTCTGTTGGAAAACCAAAAAAACCTTAGGAAAACCAAAAAATCCAAAAGTTTCGACCCCCCTGACAAAGGTTTTGGATTTTTGGTTTTTTGGTTTTTTGGATTTTTGGTTCTCGGAGCCTTAGAGCCAATACAGCGCGCAGCATGCTTGATCGGAAATGGTTTCGTTGTTTACGCGCAGTAGTCTTCAGATTTGCATTAGGCATTAGTGTTAGTATTAGTATCTGCGTTCTAGCGTGTTGATTAGTGTTACTGTTAGTGTTGGTGTCAGTGTCAATGTCAATTCCAATGTCAGCGTTAGTATTAGTCTGAATATAAGTCTATACAATAGGTGTACTAATGGTAGTGTTAATGTCTAGTGTGAGTTTTAGTATTCGTATTAGTCTTGGTCTTAGTCTCTGCCTTATTCTTAGCGTTAATATTAACCAGTGTATAGTCTCATATCAGTATATTCTGTATTTGTAAGTCTATGGTAACATTGGAATAGTAGTATACGAGTATATTATTTATTGGTATGTGAAAATACAGATTCTTTGGTACATTGATGTGTCTGTTTTTTGTATTTGGTTTGAACGTGATTATTAGTATTCGTAGGAGCATTAATATTGGTATCAATAGCAGTATCGCTGTTCATACTATGCATAATCGTACTAGCTGGAGTATCAAGTGGTAATACTGCTATTCATGTTAGTGTAGGTTTTTTTAATGTGAATATAACTACTGAGAATAATTAATAAGACTATGCGCATTAATCTGCGGAGGAACTGTATCACTTATGTGCATATTAGTATTAATGTTAGCATTTGCGTGTATATTGGTAACAAATAAATACTAAAATTACTATCAGTATGGGTATGTTTTTTAATATTCGTAGGAACACTAGTATTCATATTAGTATCGGTATTACTGAAAGTACCCGTCTTCGTAAAAGTATTTGTAATCATACTAATTCATATCAGTACGAGTATTAAGATGAATTATGATGCGCATATGAATACTTTCGAAGGAAATGCTGACCTTAATACGAATACCCATATTAATGTCCTATTATGTATAATCGCAGTAGCCTGAGTATTGGTATGATTATTCGGACAAGTATTAGTATTCCAAACAACTAGTACTATTAGCATTCATATTGAGAACAGCTAATAAGAATATGCGTATTAGTATCCCCAGGAGTGTTAATATTCCCATCAGCACTACTATTCGAATTAGTAGTGTAATTTTTAATACTAGTATTAACCATTAAGCCTATTATGTTATGAACAGTAATATCCTTATTCGTAGGAATAGAAATCTTAGTATCAGTATTAGTATTCGCACTAGTAATAGCTATTATACACATTGGCGCATGAGTAACCTAAGAGCTTCACACAGAATAAACATGTGTGCACATGTAACCCTCATTACGATCCTAGGTAGGATGCACACATCGTTCTGTTTTGGTCCCGTCTTTGGGTTATGCTTATGAGTACATGAACAAAATTAAAAACAGACAATGACAAACTCAAAGTTACCCGGCGCATCTAACGATCTTATGTAGGATGCAGACACTGTTCTGTCTTGGTCCTGTCTTCGGGTTATGCCTATGGTCATTATATGACCAGAGTTATGAATATCCGGAACATTTAGGCAGTATCCTATTAAACAATTGCAGGCATTGAAGCTTGCTCAAATCCGCCAACGGCGATGTCGCGCCGTCGTAGGTCATTACAGTGTATTCAGCTATTGATTATACACGATAGATGTGTCCATTGTTTATGTATGAGTGTATTTTATCCTAATGGTTTCCTCAAATCCTTACATGTTCTACTACCCATTGCTAGCCGAAGCACCTCGCGGTAGGTCTTCGGGGGGGGTGTGAGCATACATATATATGTATATATATATATATATATGTAATGAAGCTCCTCGATCGGCTGGCCACCGGCAGCAGACTCCGAAGCCGAGGGTTTGGGGCCCAGAACCTAACCCAAGCCAAGAGACTAAGGGACTTATAAGGTTTAGGGCCTTAGGGTTTAGGGCCTAGGGTTTAGGGTTTAGGGTGTGTCACAGTGCCACGGCGCGCCCCACCCATGGAGTGGTCGTGGGTCGCGCCGTCTTCGTAACGTGGAACCCACCCACAACCACCCGAAGCAGGACTAGAACGGGTTTTGTGTTCTGCTTCTTCTTATTCGAGGGCTGCACTAGCCGAAAAGACGTTGCAATGTTGCGGAACGTCAAAGGGACATCCGAGTGATGTAGTCACAAAATAGCAGCGACGCCCTCGCTCGTCCTCGCCGGCCGCCAGAGTCGTCCGTCAGCCGTCGTCAGAGTCGTCCGTCAGGGCCCAGTGCCAGGCCTCCAGAAGTGGTCTGCAGCCGTCCGCTGTCCGTGCCAGTCCGGCCAAGAGTGCTGATCATCCAGTCGGCCGCCAGGGTTTTTTCGCCCGGCAGTCCGTGCCAGAATTGTCCAGCTTTGCCGCCAGACTCGCACTCCAAGCTCCTTGCCAGAGTCGGCCACTGTCCCCAAGCTCTTTCTAGGACGTCCCGTCCCCGTCAAACTATAGTCGTCAGCCGCCAGAGACGTGAAACGGACATTTCCGCTTGGCCACGGCACTGTGACACACCCTGTACAGTGACGGAGCTAAGTCGCATCATGCTTGTTGGATCCCAGCCCACCTTGCGCGGAAGCACCCGGGGGGGGTCGCATCACCGGGCGTCTACTTGGGGATACGTGATTATGTTGATTCGGGAATATTGAGAATTGAGTGCTGAAGCTGAATATACAGCAATTTACTTGCAGATTCGTTCTCTCTGTGTTACTTGGTGCTTGCTGCGTGCTTGCAAAATCGAGCGTCTACATGGGGAACGGCTGGTTTTTGTTTGCTGTTTGATTCGATGTCGCTGATGTATTTCTGGAGCGGGCGCTTGCTAAAGCGAGCGTCTACATAGGGAATGGCTGGTTTTGATGTGCTGTCCGCTGCGATGCCACTGATGTGTTTCCGGAGCGGGTGCTTGCAAAATCGAGCGTCTACATGGGCAAAGGCTGGTTTTCATGGGCTGATTGCTGCGATGCCCCTGATGTGTTTCTGGAGAGGGTGCTTGCCAAATCGAACGTCTACATGGGGAACGGCTGGTTTTCATTTGCTGTTTGGTGCGATGTCGCTGATGTATTTCTGGAACGGGTGCTTGCTAAATCGAGTGTCTACATGGGGAATGGCTGGTTTTGATGTGCTGTCTGCTGCGATGCCACTGATGTGTTTCCGGAGCGGGTGCTTGCAAAATCGAGCGTCTACATGGGGAACGGCTGGTTTTCATGGGCTGTTGCTGCGATGCCCCTGATGTATTTCTGGAACGGGTGCTTGCTAAATCTGCGCTCTTTTATCAGCTGCTGTTATCGAAAAGGAGTCTCGGTCACTCCGTTTGGTCGGGAATCAACACAGCTATCTCTTTGCGGCAGCCTCTACTCGCAGACTCGTTGCCGAGATGTCCACACTGGGGTTTTGAATTTAGCATCTAATCATGTGTATTCTTGCCACGAATGAGGCTTCTTAACCCACCGTGCGCAGGGCATGCAGAATTTTAAGTGCAAGCCGCAAACACTCCCAAAATGCGTGTGCCCTTGCGGAATGGCTATACGTTTAACTGTTGTTGGGCTGACATCACTCCACTGGGGTGACTTCGCTCCCACGCCGTGTGCCGCAGGGCTTGGGGCGACTTGCAGCCAGCTGGGGCGCGGGTGTTTCGGCGTCCACTTGGGGAATGGCTGGCTTGGTTGTGCTGCGACGTCACTGATGTTTGCCTTGACTGCGTGCATGTGAAATCGAGCGTCTACATGGGGATTAGCTGGTTGTGGTGTGTTATGATTCCACCCACGGGTGTTTTGCGTGGGTGCCTCTCAAATCGGGCGTCGACATGCGGAAAGGCTGGCTTGGTTGTGCTGTGATGTGACTGATGTTTGCCTTGGCTGCTTGCATGTGAAATCGAGCATCTACAGGGGCAATAGCTGGTTCTGCTGTGTTATAATTCAACCGACGTGCTTCTTGCGTGGGTGCTTCTGAAATTGGGCGTCTACATGGGGAATGGCTCGGTTGCCATGTGTTTTTTTGTAGTGCCTGAAGCCTTGCTGACGCGGCGTCTACATGGGGAAAGCCATGTTCTGTTCCTCACAGAGAAGGACGACGAACCGTCCACACCAGAAAAAGCTTGTTTCGCGTCTATGCTTCAAAGAGAAGGACGACGAACGGCCCTGCAGAGTTGTCCGCAAAGCTCTTTTTGGAGTAACTGGATCGTCCATGTCTGCCAAGCTGTTTTTGGCCTTTTTAGTTGCTGTCAAAGCCAAGTGCCCGCCAGAGTGTCCGCAGTCCCCGTTAGGGTTGCCCGCCGTCCCCGCCAGGGTCGTCCGTCTGTCAAACTGTTTTTGGCTTTTTCGTGCCTGTCAAAGTCATCGCCAAGTCCCCCTCAGAGTTGTCCGCCGTCCCCGCAGGGTCACCCGCCGTCCCGTCCGCCATCCCCTCCAGAGTCGTCTGCCAAGCTGTTTTTGGCTTTTTCAGTCCCTGTCAGAGTCGCCAAGTCCCCGCCAGAGTCGTCCGCCGTCCCCGCCAGGGTCGCCCGCCGTCCCCGCCAGGGTCGTCCGCCGTCCCCCTCCAGAGTCGTCTGCCATTTAAGTTGCTGTCACAGCAGAGTCGTCCGCCGTCCCCCAGGGTCGCGCGCCGTCCCCGCCAAAGTTGTCCGTCCACCAAGTCCCCGCCAGGGTCGTCAGCCGTCCCCGCCAGAGGGCTCGCCATCCCCGCCAGGGTCGCTCGTCAAGCTCTGAATTCTACCAGGTCCCGTCCCCGCCACCCCTCCAGAGTCGTCTGCCAAGCTGTTTTTGGCCAGCAGAGCGCCGTCCCCGCCAGGGTTGCCCGCCGTCCTGGCCAGGGTCGCGCGCCATCCCCGCCAAAGTCGTTGGTCCACCAAGTCCCCGCCAGGGTCGTCAGCCGTCCCCGCCAGAGTCGCCCGCCATACCCGCCAGGGTCGCTCGTCAAGCTCCTTCTACCAGGTCCCGTCCCCGCCAGGGTTCTCGCGCTGGGAGATAAGGATACCCAATTTTACTATTGTGCCCCATGGCTAGCGTGCCAAATCAGGTCTGGTAGACTCGATCTGCTTGGCCAAGCAAGCAGATCTCGAAGCGGTAGCGTTCAGTGGTACCGGCCGCCGCCGGGCGCGGGCGGCCAATGGTTTAGGGGTTTAGGGTTTAGGGTTTAGGGATTTAGGGTTTAGGGTTTAGGGGTTTAGGGTTTAGGGTTTTCAGGTCCATGTTGTCATCGCCCGCAATGTGGTCCTCCACGCCGGGCTTCAGGGCACCATCGATGCAGCCCGGCTTTGCAAATTCAGGGATCCTCGTTCTCCGGGACCTTAAGGCCTTGGATCTACTTGAAGGACCCTAAACCCTAAACCCTAAACTCTACCCCCCCACCCTTTTTCAGGTCTCGTTCTGCTAACCCCACTTCACAAGAAAAGGGGTAGTACTTCTGTCGTACTTCTTCTGTGATAGAAGCGTTTGTTCGGGTAAGCTTTAGGGCTTAGCCGAGAGTTCAGCCGTAGTTTGTTTGCGAAGGGACATCAATGGCACCTCCCTTTACTTCTTGAAGCCTACAGACCCAACACGCCATAGACTAGGAAACCTCATCCATAGCCAGGCCAAGCACGTTGCGAGTAAACCCGCCAACCACGACCTTTGAGCGTGTTCGTGGAGTACTGTGCCTCAAGCATTAAAGTGCTAAGTGCTCCTAAAGCTACATGAGGATAGCCATACTCGTAACAGCAAGACCAACACTAGCAATAGCAAGAAGAAGAAGAATGATACCAAGTAGTCGTCGCAGTGGTAGTCGCAGTCACAGTCCATGCACGAGCAGGAATACCAATGAATATGATCCGGTTTCATTCTCTGAGTACTTACTAGACTATAGCTTTTCAATCACCCTCATGGATCTTCCAAATTCCCCAACCGCGCCCTCCAGTACAGACCCGACGTCCGCAAACCCCAAACCTACCCAAAACCCCGAACCCAAAACAGCGAAGCCCTCAAAACCCTAAATCCTGCTCCACCCCTAAACCCCAAACCTCAAACCCTAAATCCCTCTTCACCTAAAGACCAAGAAGCCTCAGGTCTGGACAGGCCACAGCAAGGACAGCTCCATGTCCACGGCAACATTCGGGGCAGCAAATTTCCCAGAAATATTAGGAGCTGGGGTTCAGGGGTCTTGGGGTTTATAGGATTGGGCGTGTAAGAGCTACATTCTGGGGTTCCGTATCATAACTATAGTATAGTATACCCCGATTCCCTATTCTGATTAGTAAGGCCCGTTCATTGTAGTACCCTTATGGATCCCTTATAGAACCCTTCAAAAACCCTTAAAGGAACCTCAAAACCCTGTTGTAATTGTTAAGGCCCCTACAGTATGGGGGTCCTTTCTTGCGAAGGATCCTGTTGCGTTACGGGGTGGATCTCCCAGCAGCAGCTTTAGGTTCCGAGGTCCTAAATGGGAGTTTCCGAAAACTAGTGCTACCTAAGCGTTCCTTTAAAGGGTTACTAGGGTACTATAAGGGTTCCTATAAGGGTTTAGAGTTTCCGGAAATTAGGGGGCACCTTGTTTGAGGTCCTTACAAATCAGGATCCCACTATTTAGGGTACTATAGTAGGGTCCACCATTTTCGGAATCTCCCAAATCCAGGGCTTGTGGATTTGCAGGGATCAAACGATTGTAACTCCTTGAAGGCTGGTAGGCATGTCCGGTCTCGGCTACAGGATTGAGACAGAATCCTTCTTTCCTACATGCTATTGACTGTCGATGATTCCGGGAGATCGAGGGTACTGGGTCCTGAGAGATGGGATCCAGGTTTGGTCGGGGTTCGGGACTTCTGCAGGAATGCAGCGTTAGCAGATGGAGGCATAGTTCAAAGTGGAAATTCGTCGGCAAGGCCGAGGGGTTCGTCACTTTGCACTAGAGATGTTGCTAGGTTGAAGCAGTGCCTGCACGCTGGGAAAACAGCGATTTGTTTACTGGGTGTCTTGTTACCCTAAACCCTAAACCCCTAACCCCTAAACTCCTAAACCTTAAACCCTAAACCCTAAACCCTAAACCCTAAACCCCTAAACCCTAAACCCTAAACCCCTAAACCCTAAACCCCTAAACCCCTAAACCCCTAAACATCTAGACTCTAGACCCCTGAGCCGTAAACCCTAGTTTGCTAGGACTTGGGCTCCTGGCAGCCTGACGCTTTTCATTTTCCATGTGAGGTTTATCCGGATGATGCTCGCTTTGCAAAACTTGTACCAAAGTTAGTTCACCTGGAGAAGTCACAGGATTCAACTGGCCAAGGGCAAGACATCATGTACGGCCGTATTAGCACAAGGCCCAAAGCCACTAATAGGACCTCTTGGCGCGCATCAAGAAGCGCTACAACGGGCCGGGTCCCTGGATTTCGAGGTGACTGGAGTGGTAACAGCGTTTTGTTTGCGGGTTCCCAAATCCCACGAACCCTAAACGCCACATCTCTTATCCGCACTCCTCGACCCGCTAAACCCGAAACCGAAACAGTTCGACGAAGTGAACTTCCGGTTGTGAGTTTGTGTCTGAAGCGCAGAGACGGTCAGATCTTCAGGTTTACCACAGAAGCCGTGAGAAGCCTAAACAAATTATGAGAACTATTCACAAGATTTGCATTTTATGTTTTAGGTCTAGTACAGTATAGTATACAGTATAGTAGTAGAGTACAGTACAGTATAGTATACGCCAAGGCCCTTTTCCACTGATTCCGGCCCTTAAATGCCTACAGCATGGTTGCCAGAATCGGTTTAGGATGCTTAGAGGTTTGGGCCTTTCCTTTAAGGTGTTTGTCACCTGGGTATCGGTCTTAGCAGCACGATCCAGATTTGTGAGTGTCCTCTTCTTTGTCTAATCGAGCCTTACATCCAAGATCGCGAGAGGTCGTGTAGAGTATCTCGACATGAGTAGCAGAGCGCACAATGCCGACCCTTGAAGCCCTATAAAGCTTATTACCCCTATAAACCCTATCCACCCTATAAACCCTATAGACCCGGTGTTAAAACTTATACACCCTAAAACCCCTCTAAACCCTAATCGCTAAACCCCCCAAACCCTATACCCTGAACCGTGGAAGCTCAGGGACCTCTCGTTTGGTGGGGGACCCGGTTGGGTGGAGTGTTTTTGGGAAAGGGGCATTGGGGGCTTCCGACTTCAGTGTCCGTGATATAGCTAGGATGCCCAGTAGTACCCTTATTCCCTTTTTGTAGTCCTAGGTTCCTGATAAAGTTACCCAATACCAAAAAGAGCGGCCTTTTTATTCTTAGGTTACTGGGTATCCTAGTAGGGTTCAGTTGCTTTCGGGTGATAGGCTTTAGTGTTTTAAAATTTGGGCTTTGGGTCTAAGGAGTTTCGCGCACTGTAGGGTTTAGGTATTCCGGAATGCCTCCTGAAATGGGGCAGCATTGGAAGGGCTTCTCTTCGAGGGGTCCTCATGAAGATCGGATTTTGATCCTTTTGAAGTCTTTGGGTCTGTGGGTGTGTAGGGTCTGCTGTTGAGTTTAGGAATTCGGCGTGCTCGTGGAGAAGCTGGATTTTCTTGGAGGTTCCTGTTCCTACCCCGGAAGAACCTTCGACAGAGTTCGTCTGAAGAGACATTTCTGTTCTGCTCGTTGAAGAACGAACGGCTAGACCACAAACTGCATTTGTACCTTCACCGCCCTGAACAACTAGATGAGCTTGTAGCCGTATGGATTGCCCAAAGGCTAAGCCTCCGCTCACTAGGTGTCAGAAGTCTTACATCAAAGATCTGCGCGGTGCGGGTTAGGGTTGAGCTTGATGCACGAACCCGTCCGCAGCAGGGCCTCGGCTGCGACCGCAGAAGGTGGAGCCTAGAAGAGTTGGGCACAGCTTAGGTAGCTGCAAGTAGTGCGAGCTTGATCAATCAGGTTTTGGTCTGAACTTCGCCATAACTTCCAGCACAAGGACATGTATTCTGATACTTTGAACTGCCGACCATGTCGCGAAGCAGGATGTCTTCCAAAGATGCAGACCTGCGAATCAACAGTTGTCCTCTTGCCGAGCATGCTTCGAAGCATGTATTGATAGAAGACGGGTCTGGACGGGGTGTTATGTTTAGCGGTTAGCGACTTTAGTCTTCAACGGTTTCAGACTGTCCACCCTACGGTAGAGACATGTCCTCAGGCCTCGGCTCTAAAAACACAAGGCCCCCAAACAGACAGTTGTTGATCCAATCACGCCTGAGGGGCCGTCTTCATGGATCAGAAGGGCTCTCGCTACGGAGAAGACATGTTGAAGATGGAGCCGATTCCTGAGTTCGCCAGCAGAGTTTATGATCACTAGATTCTCACGATAGTATGATAGTTTGCACTCTCCGTGCTTGGGGTGTATAAAGCATCGCAGGGACCGAGTTTAGCATACGCCTATATAGTTATAAATGTCCAAGCACCTGTGTGCTCGAGGTGTGGTTACAAAGGCTACGAACGTAGCGTCAAAGTTGATGTTTCCCAAGCCCAAGCATATGCTGATGTCAACATGCCTTCACAAAACAATGCAACACTTTGATCGTGGTTGGGGGCCTGGGCCCCTGATTGCACTGAGTTTGTAGTTAATATTCACTATTCTGATGTTTTGTTGACTACCGGAAGTCTCCGCCAACATGAAGGACGGATTGCTGCGATTTCGTTTGGTGGGCACCATCATACTTGCTCTCGCAGCAGTGAACTGAAGGCATTTAGACCAGACCGACCCACTCCACTGACCCTCAGCCCCTTCCCCAAAGCCCTTAAGCCCTAAGCCCTAAATTCTGAATCCTAGAAACCATGTTTCCTCATTTAGTCGCCTTAGCATCAAGTTCAAGTTCAGCAGTCGAAGCCCTGTACCCAAGTAGTAGGATGCATATTATAAGGACCCCCACATAAGGTACCCCCATGTTCGGAAACCCATGTTCATCGTGCGGGGAACTTATCATGCTGAGGCCGTAAGCGCTACAGTCACAGAAGCCGACGCTTAAACCCGGACAGCTGAACCTGAGTTAGCACCAGAGATGAAGGCCTTTGGTGTCAATCCCCGAATAAGGGAACCAGAGAACTATAGGCCTTCAATACGACAATCCTCCACGTTTGACCGTTTTTTCTCGCTCAGGGGTTTCGGGTTGTCGTGTCTGACGGATTAAGGCTGTGTTTCTAAGTATCGTCAGTTTCTTTGAGTAGTAGTAAGTAGCAACTGGCAGACAGCAAAACGAAAGCAACAGCAGGTGTAGCAGCAGTAGTAGCAGCTTAACAGTCGTAGAAGTAGCAGTAGCAGCAGCAGCATCTGCAGCAGTCGTACGGTCGATATAAATCCTCCATTGCCCATAACAAGGAATATTCCATAATTCCCATCGTTTACGGTCCTTGGCAGGATTTGTATCATCAACCGTAGTCCTAGCGGTCGCCCCAAAACCCTAAGCCCTAATCCCTTGTCCCGAGTCCTAGTCGTCGTCGTGGCATTTTTGTTGCGGCCCTTTGCTTCCGGAGGTCCGAGGGGCTCCTTCACCCGGGTGCCGTGGTGGTGGCAGACAACGTTCTGAAGCCCGGGGTCGGCTACCTCAGCTTTCGCCCTAATTAATATGGAGGCCTTAATAATTACCTATACTCTTCTGGGGTTCCTTATTATATTTTGCCCCAATATTGAGGCCTTAATCATTACCTATGCTATTCTGGGACTCCTTATAAATTTTTTTATAAGTATAGTATAATGGGCCCCAAAACCCTAGTCTAATTATGAAGGCCCCTGTAGTAGCTGCACTACAAGGATCCGTTAAGGGCTCCCGTAACAGAGGCGTTAGAAGGGCTCTATGAGGGTCCATGTACTTATGCAGTAGCATATACGTCTGCCTCGAAAGTGGTCTTTTGAAGGTTGCTGGAAGGGTCAAGGCGTCTACTCAGGGAGCATGAACCCTGAAACCTATAAACCCCTAAAGGGCACATGAATCCTTAGGATCGTGGCAATGCCCTGCAGGATCTTTGTGAACTGTTAGCATCGGGTCAGCTGATCATGGATATTCTTCGGGCCGACAGTCTCGGCTAGGAGTTTATTATGGTTTAGGGTTTTAGTGTTTAAGGTTTAGGGTTTAGTTTTCGGGGTTCAGGGTTTAGGATTCTGAGTTGAGGGTCTGAGGCCTATTGGCATGGTTGGTGAGAGGTTGTTCAAGGATGTTGGGGCCTTCATTCCAGCCGGTTTACAACAGCCTTCGCACCAAACCTGGGCAAGACGATCTATATTCCGAGCAGGTCTTTATGAATGAGAGGGATCGACTGTTTATGTCGGGGAGCTCGAGGTCTCTGACTTTAGGAAGCAGGTAAATGTTAGCGGGTGTGTGTGTGTGTGTGTGCTTTCTTCTGCAGTGTGCTCTGTCCCTCTGCAGCCACAGCAGCAACTTCCGCACTCGCACCAGTTTGGAAACGTAGAGTGCTAACCCTAAACCCTAAATACGAAATCGTATTCTGCGCATACAAACCTGTAAAGAGCGACGGGGCCCTGGCCAAGCCCTGCTTTCCCAAAACCAGAGGGTGACAGCCTCCCCACAGGGCCCCTGTCTAATCATGAAACTTACCTGAAGGTTACCCTAGTTATAACCCTACTTACAACTACCCATGAACCTCCAAGTAGTGGACCCTGTCGGGTGCCTGGGGATGATAGCATGAGGCGCCCCTTTTCCTCTTTCAGATCATGAACGGTGGAAAATACAGTGCCACCTTGGCTGCCTTTGTCTGTATTACGTAGGGTTTGGAATAAATTGGTAGACCTCTCTCCTTGTGGTCCCTACCATGCCCGCGACCCCTTTTCGAGCTTCGGCGAGGTTGGTTGTTCCATGATTCTTCCAGTGGGACGTCGGGCCTGATTTCGATGAGCTTCTGTTCTTGGAGCCGTTCAGTATTTGAGGTAATGTGAATCCTAGATCTGCACGTCAGAGGGGTTCTGAGGTGGATGAGTTGTAGCACTACCCAGGATAGAAAGTTGCTAGTGCGAGATTCAGAGAATGCAGATCGGTGAGAAACCGCCCTCTGCTGGTTTGCAGTTTGGGGGATCGTTTCGGGTGTCTTTACGCGTTTCTGGGTCTGGGTTCGTTGCTTAAACCGTCCTTACTAAAGTATTGGAGCTTAACGATGGTGCCCGTTGGGTATACCATCACTTCATCAACAGGAGTTAGGATGGAGGGGTTTAGGGGTTGAGGGGCGTAGGGTTTGGAATTTAGGGAGTTAGAGTTGAGGGTTTAGGGTTTGGGGTTTAGAGTTAAGGCTTTCCGAGAACAGCAGTACCAGCAGCGCCTGGGTCCAACGAGGTGTCTGCCCTTAATTTGACATCTTCCTTGCATCAGACAAAGAAGGCTTCCAATTCCTGAATTCTGGCCTCTGCGGACGTTGGAACCTTCGTCTTAAGCCCTAAACCCTAAACCCCTAAACCCTGAACCCTAAACCCCAAAACCCTAAACCCCAAAACCCCAAACCCTAAACCCTAAACCCCTAAACCCTAAACCCTCAGAACCTCAAACCCTAAGCCCGATATGGGGGCCTTCTCTGAGGCCCAAATCGTTTCGATGGATGAGTTTGCCATGCCTTCAGAGGACGCTGAGCTCTAAACCCTAAACCCCGAGATCCGACGGGAAGCCGGAGACCCCCTAAACCCTTAAATCTCAAACCCTAACCCCCGAAACTCCTAAACCGGGATAGGCTGTCTTAAGGATTGAGCGATGACGAGGTTCATGATTTTACACCGACCTTCAGCCTAGAAAGCACTTTTTGAACTGAGGGTGTAGTGTACCAAGTCGTTGCCTTTTCAAGTTTCATTCATATGAGTAGGGTGTAGAGCACCTTGTGGAGAGGCCAAGTAACCCGGAGCTTGCTTGCTGTGCGTGCGGTGTCGATTTTCCGCGCCATCAAGTGCAAGTGCCTCCCAAACCTTGAACAAACCTGTACGCCCGAAAGCCCGGGGTCTGAAGTCTGAAGGATCCCAAAACGAGAACAAATTCAGGGTACGTTCAAGGGTCCAGGTAACTCTAAAATTTGTTCTTACAGGGCTCTACACTTCAATAAGTCTTGGTGACAAGGCGAGAAGCATGACAGCCTGTGCACACCGAAGACCAAAAACCCGCATGTTACAACCGGAGAATCGGATGTGTTCCGCTTTGCTTCGTGAGTACTTGCGAACATACTATACGAGAGTCCCATATTATAATTACTCCCCCCACACACCACACACACACACACACACACGCAAAGAGACACACACACACACAAACACACATACACGCAGACACACACACACACACACACAGAGACAAACACACACACACACACAGAGACAAACACACACACACAGACACAGACACAGACACAGGCTCAGGCTCAGGCTCAGGCTCAAGCTCAGGCTCAGGCTCAGGCTCAGGCTCAGGCTCAGGCTCAGGCTCAGGCTCGCTCGCTCTCTCTCTCGCTCTCTCTCTCTCTCTCTCTCTCTCTCTCTCTCTCTCTCTCTCTCTCTCTCTCTCTCTCTCTCTCTCTCTCTCTCTCTCTCTCTCTCTCTCCCTCTCTCTCTCTAAGAACATGACCTGGGAAGCTCCCAAGCCCTGGACAATAGACCGTTTCACAGACAGGATTGGATGTCAATCAATGTGCGCAAATTGAAGGCCTGCTCAGATCTTAGTGCATGGGTAGGGGGGTTCAAGGTTGGGAATTTTGAGTAAGGTGCAGAGTGAAGGGTACATCGATGTCAGTCATCCTATCGCTGCGACCCCAAAACACGTAATCCTAAGCCTTACAGCTTCTTAAACTCGGAATTTGAATTCTAGTTCAAAGCAACAGATGTACCAACCCAGACCGAGAGCTTGCAGCAAGCGTGCATGGACGAAAGTAAAACTTATGTTCTTGAGAGCGGCACTAGTGACGGCCAGGGTTAGGGGCGGTGAAGGTCGCCGTAGCTTTGCCACCAATCATATCAGCAGTGATAGTCATGGTCGGAGCACGTGGGTCATGCGAGGTCACCGTCACTCTCATTTCTGCCATATTGTCAGTGGGGGACGCATCAGTCATTGCAGTGGTCGTGGCAATTCTGGCACTGAGCAGCAGACGGAAGAGCGGTCAATGCAGGTTCTGTTCCTCCTCCTCGTCCTCCCCCTCGTAGTTTTCTTTCCAAGAGTACTTGCAAAGCTAAGGCTTGATTCATGAAAAAGGAACTAAGAGGAAGCTTGCAACCCCGTACATCCTAGCCTGCAAAACCCCAAACCCTAAAAACGCCTGGCCCCTCAACCCGAAAGTCCCAAATCCTAAACCCCATATAAATTATAAGGGTTCAAAAGTAGGGTCTCCTTTAAAGGCACTGTGGTTCTACAAAATAGGGTCCTCTTTATAGGTCAGGGGCTAGGACTTGAGGCTATAAATTATGGAGGCCCCCATGAAACCCTAAGCCGCCAGGCGCCAAAGAATGAGACGGAGCCGCCTGAGGATCTCCACCAGCTCTCCAAAGAGACGGTGCGCGGTGCTGGTAGCAAGTCCGGCAGTTACAGGGTTTAGAGGTTCGGGGTGTTTAGGGCTTGGGTGTGGGGGTTTTGGATCTACAGGCCTTCAAGACTTATCAGTCTCTGATTTCGGGGTTTGGTGGTCCACCTAAGGCCGTAAATCTCAATTATCCCAAGGCTTGCTCACGGCACTGGCTGTCTAGCGCGGAAGTGCACAGATGCTCTTGCATAGTAGCCTCATAACAGCGATAACCGCAGGTAAAACTAGCCATCACCATAGGTAGTCCCTATAACCCCTATAGTGATCACTATACAAACAGTTTAATGCCAAACAAACTGCTAAGCACCGGAGAGTTCAGAGACGCTGAACCGTGAATCGTGAACTCCAAACCATGACCTTTACATCCCACTCACTGAAGCCTTCATAGGGTTCGGATTCCAAAGCCTCTTCCCTGCCGTCATGTTTGCCAAAGTCTCAAATCCGGAAACAAGGTTCAAGTCCATTCCAAACACCACTGCAGACCTGCCCTAATTCTTCCCCGAACCCCTAACCAATTTCTTCAGAATCCCTAAACCCTCTACACTGAACCTTCGTCGTAGTCTGACTTTGTGGTATCGTGATTCCTCGATCCTATGAGTTCCATGCTCGTTCCAGATTCCTGAATTCTGGTTGCCAAACTTCAAATCCAGGATAAGCCTCGCACCCACCCACACACATGCACATGTATCGAAACGAGTAGAACGAACGGCTTTAGGTTGCAAGCGAAGGGGATTCGCAGGGCGGCTGACAAACACATGATGATGGAAAGCTTTCCTGCAAATTGCCAGCTATAGCCAATCGTCTGCCCTGAAGCCTATAAGCCGGAATGACACGCCCTTCAAGCTCTAGCCTATCCCTATAGACCCTAAACCCTAAACCGTAAACCCCAAGCCCCCCCAAAAAAAGCCAGGACCGCATGCGTGAGCGAGCCACGGGACCGGGCCGCAGTGTCTGCAGCCTCGGAAGAACGCAGCTGCCATGGTGTTTAAAACCCTACAGTAGAAGCCAGAAAGTTGGAATATCATTATCGTATATAACCCCTTTAAGGTAAATTATGGGGATCCTACCCTGAAACTACTATAAACCCTAAACCCCATGGTGTTTAAGCTATATAACTTGGGATGTTTAGGGATGGCAACTTGGGATGTGTGTTTGAAACCCTAAACCCTAAACGGTGGCTGCTAAGTTGGGATGTTTAGGGTTCGGGGGTTAAGGGTTTAGGGATAGCAGCTTGGGATGTTTGGGGTTCGGGGGTTTAGTTGTTTTGTGGTTCTCGCGTTTTGAGCTTCGGGCTGACGTCGCGCTTAGCCCAGTATCGTTTTGGGCTTCAGGGTTGAGGGAATGTCGGCTCTGGGATGTTGGGGGGGCTTATATTGTAGAGGTCAGGGTTAAGTTTCGGGTGTGACTTATGAGGTCAGGTTGCCATCATCATGTCGTTCTTTTGTTGTTTCCTATCGTTCTGTTGTTGGTGATGGTTCTGGAGATGATGACGATGACGATGACGATGACGATGACGATGACGATGATGATGCTGGTGGTGGTGGTGGTGGTGGTGTGAACAACCCAAAAAGAACAACACACGTCTTTCCGGTTATCACGATGGCGGACGCATCCCCTGAGCCCTGAACCTTTGTTGTTGATACTATAGGAGCCAAAACAGTCACTACTGTTTCGGTGCTCCTCATTGTACGTCTGCAGAAGCATACCCCAAAGCCTTGCTCTAATTATCCTAAACTCTATACTGAACCCCCTACAATACCCCTTACAGTAATCCTTACAGATCCCTTGAAACGGAACCCTTTACGGAAAAGGCCCTCTGTATCAGATCGTCTTCGTGCCTTCGGCCCAACTCAGGGAACCCACTACCCCTTAAATAAGGGATCTACCTTAAATCAGAATACTAAGGCCTCTATGATTATTGTGTTTTAAGCTATACCTTAAACCCTAAACCTTAAGCCTTAAACCCTAAACCCTCTTTAATCTATATTCCTGAATTGAGGGGTATTGGGTTCTCTGGGAAGGTCACCTACGAGGAGTGGGCCGAGTTTGCCCAGGAGGTGAAGGCCCATCCGGAGTTTTATGGAGTAGGACTTCGGACTCCGTTAGGGCCAGGGGAGTTATAGGGTTTAGGCTTCAGGGTTTAGGCTTTAGGGTTTAGGCTTTAGGGTTGAGGGTTTAGGGTTCAGGGTTTAGGATTTAGGGTTTAGGCTTTGAGATTTAGGGTTTAGGATCTAGAATAGGATTGAGGCGGGTCTCGGAAGCTCTGAATCATAACTAGTCGTAGGAACGTAGGAACGCGGTTGCGCTCCGACGGGTGTTGAGGTCCTTGCTTTCAGTGCCTTTGGCAACTACCACTATACCCAGACCACCGGGAGGATCCAAAAAGTAGAGGTTCCTATAAACTACCCTTAGTAGTATAGGGCCCCATATTAGGGGATCTGCTTTCTAGATCCTCCTGGGGTCTGGGTATAAGGACCACTGGACTGGAGCCTGCTTCGTCATCCAGCCTGCAAGCTTTGGATGTAATGGTAAGGGAAGTTTAGATGTTAGGCCTTGCGGGGAGACGGCGAGTTTAGCTCAGGGGGATGCTCAGGGCGGTTAAAGCCGGAGAAGCCCCCAAAGTGCACTGCCAGAAGCGCTTGGCGGCGACCGACGTGGAGCTAACTGTGGATCTGCGCCCAGAAGACAGCCGAGAGCGTGCTTCGGCATGCAAGCGGATAAGCAGGTTTTGGAGCCTAGACTGACATCTACCATTAAGCCCCTAAGCCCTAAGCCCTGCATAGTAGCGCAGTCTGGAAGATTTGGTAGAGAAGGTTTCAGTGGTAGTACAGTGTTGCAGCTTCCACATTCATGAGTCACCAGGGTATCAGAGCAACCCTGAGGTTGACTTAAAGTAAAGACCCTGAATCTGGCGAAAGCACCATAGCCTACACACTCGGGTGGTTGTCAAAATTATGGTCCCTGTTTGGGTCCTTATTACAATACGGCACCTATTATTTTAGGATACCCAAAAAGGGACCGTAGTTTTGACAACCACCCACTCGAATTCATCCTTCAAACCCAAAACCTTCTCGATTACCTGAGGTGACGCATCTTTCGGCATGAAGTACAAGCGGTGACGGAAAAAGTCGAAGCATCAGCAGGGCCGAGGAGATTAGGATTTAGCGGTTTAGGGCTTTAGGAAGTTGCAGGTCTTTAGCGGTTTAGGGCTTGAGGGAGTTCCAGGTCTTTGGGTTAAAATCTTTGAGGCTTCAGCTACCCGATCTGCAGGGTGGATAGAGCTTCAGGTTGTAGGCATGTCAGTCCTGAGGACTTCGTACGGCTTTGCGCCTTGTCTCCCGAGAGGTTAAGGGTATTCTTTTCGAGCATGTTTAGTCTTCAGGGTACTTATGGCATTTATGGCATTTACTATGCCGGGCACTTCGGGTTTGCAGGGTCCGTTCGATTGTTGAGGCCGTGGACGGACAGTCGTCTAGTAGCCGCAGGAGGCTCTCAAAGAGCGCCTTAGACTATCCATGTGTCCATCCATCTAGCCTTCCATCTATCTATATATATATATATATATATATATGTAGTTTACATATACAGGTCTGTGTATATATATATATATATACGTATATATTTGTGTATATATATATATATATATATATATATCATGTATACGTATATATGTAAAAGTGTATAAATGTAGAAATGTATACATGTACGTATGTACGTATATATGTAAATATGTATATATGTGTATGTGTATACGTGTACGTGTATGTGTATATGTACAGGTGCAGGTACAGGTGCAGGTATATACATACAGAAATATGTATACATACACACACACACATATATATATATATATATATATATATACATATATATACATAACCATATCTATATCTATATCTATATCTATATCTATATCTATATCTATATCTATATCTATATCTATATCTATATATATATATATATATATATATATATATATCTATATATATATATATATATGCTTTCATGCATGCCTGCATGCATGGATGGATGGATGCATTAATGCAATGTCATGTAATGTAATGTAATGTTATGTATGTATGTACGGTTCGAGTTTCAGGGATCATAGGGTCATGGGGTTGTGCTTTGAGAATCGACTGATTGAAGAGCCTCGGCCTGGGAATAGTAGGCAACTGGAGTGGCCTCAAACCCTAGACCCAACACCTGTTTAGGGTTTGCGGTTCAGGGTTTAGAGGGTCGAGTCTAGGGTTTTAGGGTTTAGGGCTTATGGGCAGATCGTTGCTGCAGGAGCCGTTTGAGCTTCAGCTTTAATTGCTGTTTCCGTTGCTCAGGACTGCACAAAACCCTGCTTGAAACCCATTGATCCTGAAGCAGCTGGACACCGAAGCCCCGCATGCGCCCCAGACCTCGCTAGTTTAGCATATATTGAAAGCCACATTGATCTTCGCGCCGGAAATGGCGCCATCCAAAGCACGCCGCCGCTGGCAACGAGGCGAGTTTGGGTGAAGCTGGGTTTGAGGCCTTCTTGAGGACTGCAGGGCCTGATTAATATAGAATGATAGCGTTTTGGTGCTCATTATACTATAATTCTAACATTATGGAGCCCCCAGAATATTATTCGTAGTTATTTCGGCCCCCGTTGTACCAGGCCGCTGCACAGGCGCTACTTTGCCTTTTGACCCACGGTAGAATGTGAACCCAATGAGTCCAAACCCGAGCCATTGAACCATACACCGCGAAGCATGGAAACGCACCCCAAAACTGCAAATTAATAGTGCAAGGCCTTGCAAGACAAAATTCCGACTTGGAGTTTCAGAGCTTTTCGGCCGTTGGGTTGTTTTCAGGGATTGAGGTAAAGGGTTCATACAAGTTGATCCCCGGTTAATACACGCCCTTTGTGAGGATCTCAATATTGGGATCCCCTGTTGTGTTACATATTCCTATAGAGGGACGGGGTGCGAAAGCGTGACAATGGGTTGAGGGTTGAGAGGGTTTGGGGTTTAAGTCAAGCCCTGCAAAGGCCTTTCTAGGGTTTAGGGGATGAGGTATATCACTGTTCTGTGGCCAGCACCTTGTACAACCCTGCACTTGGGTGTTATGATGAGTTCGGAGGGTTGTCAATATGCTACGCGGCTTAGGGATGCTACCCTATAATTTCAGGGGCATCCTTAGAGGAGTTCACACAGGACAGACATACATAGTTTGCAGCATATCATTGACTGCTCCACATGCCGTTGCAAGAACCTGGAGCCCTTGCCGTATCTGTTTTGTCTCCATAGCTTAGTATGCACCCCTTAGCCGGGTCCCGCATACGAAAGGTTCAGGGCTTAGTGGAGATCTTAAAATTTAGCCTTGAGGGTTTGGGGGTCATGTTGGGGTTTAGGATTTAGAGTTTATGGCAACCTAAGGCCAAAGTGTCTTGGCCGCCTTTGCTGCCACCGCCTTCGGTTTGCCGTGCTTCGTGCCGCCCGGAACATCCAGGCTTCCTACGCGATACAAGACCAGGGAAACGGGTCAGAGGATGGGTTTGAGCTCACTAGTCACTGGGACTGCAAAGCGCGACTGAGGATTTACCGCCGCCTGCATCTTAAGGAAAGTGTGTGTATCTAGGAGGCCTACCTAATACTCCAAACCAGAAGCCTTGACCTTAACAGTTGCCCTAAGCCTCTCTGGCGAAGTTTCGTAGACTATCGAAGACGGTCTGGCTATCGACCGCCTTGTTGCAGAAGGGGTGGCTTGAGGGTTGCGGATTGCGGCTTGAGGGATAAGGCGATCATGGGATGTGCTTTTCGTAAAATCGTTGAAAAAAGCCTGCAAAACTCGCCTTTGCACCTGTGAGTGGTTTTGAGAGACTTCAAACCTCTCCCGCACTGTCCCAACTCTTAAACTTGAAACGGGCAGTCGCAAGACCCGAAGCCTTTAACCACAAAGCTCCTCAACCCCAAAGCGTATATGCCGTAGAGCTACGTAGCGCCTGAAACGAAAGCCCTCGACCCTGTTGAGTTTTCTGCATGGAACGTCTCCTCCAGAATGCTCATACAAACTCCCTATGGAGAACCCTTCTGGAACACAAATAAAACTCCAACCCCTAAACCCTTAGAACCCCTACAAACACAGCCTTTATGAAACCCTCCTTATCGAACTCCCCAAGAAAAGCCCTTATAGAGCACGTATTGTGGAGCCTTGATAGAGACCTTATGAAGCCCTTCTGAGCCTCATCGATCCCTAGAGAACACTTCTGGAACACATATAGTAGAACCCTCAACCCTGAACTCTTAGAGCCCTTTTTCCGCCTTTATGAAACCCTCCTTATCGAAAGAGCGCCCATAGAACCCACTATAGAAAACCCTTATGGAGCACATATTATAGAGCCTTTATAGAGATCCTATGAAGCCCTTCTGAGCCTTATGGAACTCCCCAAGAAACCCTAAACCCTAAAACCCCAAAAGAAGAGGCGTCTCCTTCTGGGCGCCTGGGCCGTCTTTGCACCGGGGCTCCCCCCCGCGGCTGCTGAGCCGAAGCCACCACCGAAGGACCGGCTATCGGGCGCAGCTTACTCCTAAGTAGTAGCAGTCGTAGTGGTACGGTTGATGATATAAATCCTGCATTACCTTAAGGACCCTAAACGATGGGAATTATGGTATATTCCTTATTATGGGTCATGGCAGGATTTATATCATCAACCGTAGTAGTAGTAGTAGTAGTAGTAGTAGTAGTAGTAGTAGTAGTAGTAGTAGTAGTAGTAGTAGTAGTAGTAGTAGTAGTCGTAGTAGTAGTAGTAGTAGTAGTAGTAGTAGTCGTCGTCGTCGTCGTAGTAGTAGGGAGAATCCGTAAAGGGGCCTTAAGGTCCGTAAAGGGGCCTTAGGTCACCCCAAAAAGGGTTCCCCTTAGGGGGCTACTCAGAAACCTATGTAGGGGTAAGGTTTAGGGTGTCAGGGTCTGCAAGAGTTTAGAGCTTAGAGTGCAGGCATTCGTGTTTAAGAGAGGGCTTCTTAAGTTCGGAGAGGAACCTTAGTTCGTCTGTAGCACCTGTATTCCTGCCGATCCAGACAGCCTTGACTCAGCAGCACGGCGGTTTTTGGAGTTTAGGATTTAGGGTTTACGGTTTAGGGGTTTAGGGTTTAGGGGTTTACTGTTGAGGGGTTTAGGGTTTAGGGAGTAGATCTCACCGAGGTTCGGGTGAGGCTTTGTACGGGCTTTAAGTCATGGCTCAGTGGTTCCAGCCCTGCATACTTGATGGCAGCGTTCCTGTCTTAACAACACTCAAGTTTGTACAGGTCTAGCTAGTACTATAGTACTTCTATTCTCATAATGTCTGACCTCGGCAAAATTCCAGAAATACAAACACTGAGAGGCAACTCGAGTTTTTAGCTTGCCTTCATGTAAGCACTATAATTTGTTTGTTGTCATGACCATTGCCTCACACACAACCTTCCTCAAGAGTGTCCCTGAAGCCTTAAATCCCTAAACCCTGAAGACCTGGAAGCCTACAACCAAAGCAGTCTGTCGTTGGTGCCCTCATAACTGGTCCAGTTTCCCCCAAAGCCCACACAACTGAATCCCAAACCGTACAAACTCCTGAACCCTCCCACCACTACACCCTAGAACACAAACCTTTATGGCACACTTATGCTTATAGTTTGTCTAGCAGGAAGGAAGCTGCGTAGGCTGCCTGGGAGTTGTCGACGGCCACGGTCTCAGCGCTTCGGGCTTCGGGGATTTCGGCTTCAGGGTTTCAGGGCTCAGGCATTTAAGGATTCGGGTTTAGGGTTTAGGGTTTAGGGGTTTAGGGTTTAAGGATTCGGGTTTATGTGTTTTGTGTATTGGTGTTTCGGGCTTGGAGCTTTTCGGGCTACAACAAGCTAAGCTCACAACAGACACGCACACCCAAACACGCCCTAAACCTTAAACGCCAAGCCCTAAAGCCCCAAGACCCCTAAACCCTAAAACCTAACCGTCAACCCGAAAATTGCCTGAGCCCCTGGAACCCTACAGTAAACCCCATAAAGTTGGAAACCGGATTAAGGCCAAATAGTGCTGTGATTCCTTCTGCATTGCTCTTAAGGATTGAGGCTATTGGGTTTCCAACTTTTGGGCTTCTACTCTAACCCCTTCGAGCCACCCACTCTTGAGACCTCCTGGCGCGGTGCACCGGCGACCTAAAGGGCTGCGTCTCCTCGCAAGACGATCGGCCGGAGGCGCCGTTGAGAGAGGGTTTTGGGATTCAGGGTTTAGGGTTTAGGATTCAGGATTTAGGGTTTTGGGAGTCAGGGTTTAGGGTTTAGGATTCAGGATTTAGGGTTTCGGGAGTCAGGGTTTAGGGTTTAGGATTCAGGATTTAGGGTTTTGGGAGTCAGGGTTTAGGGTTCAGGATTCAGGATTTAGGATTCAGGGTTTTGGGATTCAGGGTTTAAGCTTGGGGGCTTGAGGACTTGAGGGTTTAGGAGTTTAGGATTCAGGGTGTAAGCTTGAGGGGCCTTTGGGACTTATTGAGGGTTTAAGGGTTTGGGGTTGATGGAGAGCTTCTCAATTCGGTTCTAGAGGTTTGTCACGTGGTGCCGGATGCTTTAGGGTGTGGACTCGACAGGTTTGTTGTTCCAGGGTTCGCCAAGATTTCGGGGTTCCGTGCTCAAGGGTTTTTTGGAGTCTTTGGATTTACGGTTTGGCGGGACCCTAAGGGGGTCCAGGGGGTGTAGGACTTCGCTAGAACTCCCAACTACCTTCTATCTGAACCCCTGAGAGGGCACGGGAGGGATCTGTGCGGGACCGGAGCAAGAAACTGGTTGTGGCACCCCCCTAAAACCCGTGATGATACCCTATACTGATATGTATAGCCATCCAGGATCCTCAAACATTGTTGAAGGGCTAGGACCGAATTTTTGAGTTCTTCTCAAGTCAAGCCCACACCCTAAACTTCTGATCCCTGGAACAACAAACCCTTGCTTTGAGCCCCAAAGCCTATTCCTTACGATGCCGGTTGCCACCCTGCATTGCAACATTTAAGGACCCTGGCTAAGAGCGTCAAGGGTTTAGGGCTTCGTGGGGTTTACCCTAAACCCTAGATCTCAAACCATCGACCTTTCAACCTCAAACCTTCAACCCGAAACCCCCTAAACCCCAACCCCTAAACCTATCAAGCTCTAAACCCTATAGACCCCTAAACCCTAAACCCTAAAAGCAGAGCCCTAAACCCTACAAAATTTAAAAAAACCCTAAACCCTAAACCCTAAAAACAGAGCCCTGAACCCTACAAAATTTTTTTTTAAAAAAAAAACGACCCTAAACCCTAAACCCTAAACCCTAAAAACAGAGCCCTGAACCCTACAAAATTTTTTTAAAAAAAAAACGACCCTAAACCCTAAACCCTAAACCCTAAAAACAGAGCCCTGAACCCTACAAAAATTATTTTTTTTAAAAAAAAATAAAAACGAAACGGCATGTTAGGGTTTAGGGCTGCAGGTCTTCGAGCCCCCGTGGCAGCTCCCGGAGCCGAAACCTGGCGTAAAGGAGGCGCCCTTGGCGTTACAAGTTTACTTAGATAGGGTTTAGGGTTTAGGGTTCAGGGTTTAGGGTGGGGAACTTTAAACTTTTTGGCCTTATATACTAGCTCTATACTAGAAACTTTGAACTTTTTTGGGCGAGGTTGTTGAAGAAGAGAGATTAGGGACCCCAGAAGCAGGATCTTAGGGTTGCCTTCAAGGGATCCTTAAAGGTTTCTTAAAGGGATCTATAAGGGGTTTAGGGTTTAGTACCCCGAAAGCACATGAGCAGAAGCATTTTATGGGGATATCCCTACCTTATTGGGCTTCGTTATACGAGGATTTATATGGGATATCCCCATCCTGATTTTTGCGTAGGTCCTTTGTTAAGCGCCCTAACAAAGGGGGCCTCAAAGAGATCCCTAAGGGTTCCCTTTAAAGGGATCTATAAGAAGAGATCCCTTAGGGGTTACTTTAAAGGGATCTATAAGGGTTCTATATAAGGGGGTTTAGAGATTGAGAGGTTTAGGGTTGCAAAGGACCTTCAAAGGGGCTTCGAAGGGGCTTCATTGGGTGGGGTTTAGGGTTTGGGGTAAATAAGGTTTACTAGGATCCCCAGTAGTACCCTTATTCCCTTTTTGTAGTCCTAGGTTCCTTAAAAAGTTACCCAATACCAAAAAGAGAGGCCCCTTTTTATTCTTAGGTTACTGGGTATCCTAGTTTAGAGTTTAGGATTTTAGTTTTTGGGGTTTAGGGCGTCAGGAAAATGCCAGTCCTGATACAAGGGATCCTAAATACCTTGGCTGCAGGAGCCACGAGGATTCTGGGGTTTCAGAGGGGGTTTAGGGCTTTACAGTTTCGGGAGGGGGGGGGGTGCAGGGTTCAGGGGTTCAGAGTTGAGGTGAGGCTTTGAGAGTTGTAGGCAGGTTTTAGGTTCGTGTTGGTTCAGGTTAGGATGTCCTCCAGCGGAACTCATGGGACTCATGGCCTTGTAAGATGCATTAGTGGTTTGTACAAGCGAGGGTAGTAGAGGTGGGTGTCAGCCTGGTAGAATGGCGCGTGGAAGTTGGAGTAGGAGTCAAGGTCGGAGTGTAGCAGTAGTTGTCCTCTTCGTAGTAGTCGTACTAGTCGTGCATGGTCGTCGTAGCAGCAGTGGTTAGCAATGGCGGTAGCAATCGTCGTTGGCGTCGCTGTCGGATTCCAGGTCATGCGTTGGTACGTATTGGTCGAAGATCAAAGCGACATGGGCACACGGATCCCTTATATATATATATATATATATATATGTATGTATGTATGGATATCCGTGTGTGTCTGTGTGTGTACGTGTGTAATTTCCAAGATGTAGTCGGCAACAAAAAGCGGACCCTTTGCAACATGGTTTGCGAGATCAAGATCTTTGCAGCATGAGCCGGAAGAACCTTAGCCCTAGACGAGAGGTGATGCAAACTAGCCTAAACAGAGGTTTGGTTGAGTGTGCACACGGCTCCTTCGAGATTGCGCGAGGACCCAATGCTGAATTATGCTGCAGAACTGCGAAATGAAGTGCACCGGGTGGCTTGGCGGGTCCTGCGCTGTTTCATGGGCCAGCCTGGGACATCCTGAAACCCTAAAGAACCTATTCTTAGGGCTCCTCATTATGCTCATACGGGTCCTTGAAAAAGTAGGTTTTTTGGGTTTAGGGTATTTCCAAAATTTTCGCCAGGAAAGAAGGCAGGATGCGGGCCCAAATTGGAAAGCACAGTGCTCCGTAACCTGGCGTGACTACGTGTCTATCATCGTACTATAGTGGACGACTTTAGTGGCTAAACCTTAAGCCAAGCAGTAGTCTGAGTTCAGTTTTTCTCGTGATTAAATCCTACGCTGCTTTCCCTGTGGGAGGGCGGGGTTGGGCGAAGGGAGTAAACTGAATTGGGCATGTCAGTTCAGGGTGTTCCTTAAGGCTAGTAGCGACGGTCGTGATTTGTTTGCTGCGAATGAAGCCTTACATGCAACCCTATACGACTATAATTTTCAACCCTAAACCCGAAAACTCCAGTACAAAGCCACAAAACCTCAAACAGCAGCACTTGTGGTCTGACTTTCCAACCCTCCAACGAGATGTGCATTCTGCAACCCCTGAAACCCCCCGACACTGACGCCTTAAAGCACGAAGAGTCTTGACCATAAGTTGCAGCCCCAGGCATATAGGGGCCTTTATAATTAGAATTGGGGTTTGGGGGTTCCTCGTTGTCCTTATAGTAGAATATACCCCCAAACCTGTTAAGGCCCCACATTTTTTGCACCTTTAGATCCCTAAAAGTAGCCCTTAAGGATCCCCTTGAATATAGTGAACGAACCCCCCAAATACTATAGGTAACGATTAAGGCCCCTATAGTACTTGTTAACGGAAGGCCGGGGGACGGATCTTGTCCTTCAGCGATGACAAGAGATATCTTCGATGCCTGGGCTGCAACGGAAGCTCTGGGCGTGTGAGTATGGTTGTGGGTATGCATCGCTGCATAATTGCATGCATGCTCGTCCGCATGTCATGTGAATGCGTGTTACGTATGCTTTTGCATTATTCTGCGTGTTATCTGTGGCATGCTGTTCATGTTGTGTGTCAGTCATGTCACGTTGTTCCATGTTTCGCCATGCTACCACTGTGCTAAGTGGTTATGACATGTTATGGTATGCTTTGTTTAACTATGCTATGCTATGCCATGGCATGTTATGTTTGCTATGGATGCATGGGTGGATGGATGTACGTATGTTATGTTGTTGATGCAATGTGTGTAATCTGAAAGCTATGTATGTTATGATGTGGTTTAACTCTCTTCGTAGTCTATGTTGTGTTATGCTGTGCTCCCATACGCTAGGTTGTGCTATGGTGCGTTGTATTCTGTGCATGCATGAAGGCACAGTACGTGCGGATCCACGTATGCATATATGTCTGTACACATGCCCCTGCCTGCCTGCCTGCCTGCCTGCCTACATGGATGAACACATAACACCCACCCACATACGCAGTATGTATATATGAACGCGTACCTACCTAATGTTACTACATATAACAGCACGGGTGTACCTTTGCTCACATGTCATGTCCATGCGCGCCGTCGTACAAACTCCCGGCACCCACAGACGCAGTGTGCCGCTCTCACCTTACATCCTAAACTCCATATGGGAGTTTCCGAAAATTATGGGTACCTTATTTGGGGGTCCTTATAATAAGGATCCTACTATTTAGGGTACTATATTAGGGTCCTCTATTTTCGGAAACTCCCTTATGAGGCCATCCCTTCAAAGCCCAGGAGCTGAGTTTCTTGTCGACGTCCCGGTGCTTGGAAAGGATGCTGACGACGTAGAGTGGTACCCGGATAGACATGGAGACTGTTCGTCTTCGAATTCTGGTTTCTTTCAGAGTTCTTGAGAGAAGACTCTTACGGCAAAATTACCGTTTAGGTCATGGTTCGGGTCATGGTCAGCGCCGCTTTCAGTTTAGGGTCTCACGGCGAACTAGGGCTTTGGGTTTAAGACTTCTATTCGGTGCAGACTTCGACAGCCGACAGTATGCAAACACATGAGGTCCACCACCTCCATGAGGCTATGACTACAGTAGCTCACAGGCCATCAGGTGGTCATATGCCACGAAAGCAGACCCACCAAGTGGTCGAGTGACAGTCGCAAAAATGGCAGCTTGAATCAGCCCTAAACCTGTCAGAACGGTAGGCCCCACCTAGAACGTCCGTAGGCCCAGAGCCCTCGTCTTAGGACCTAGTGGACTTTTTTGATTTTTCAGCAGATTTCTTCGGCTTTTCAGAACTTGCCCGGTCTCAACAATCATCCAGCAGCAAGATTCGCAGCACATCGGCTTCCAGAAGCCAGCCACTGCTTTCACAACACACAACCCTAAACCCTCTCCCCTGGCCCCAAGAAAATCTGAGGCTCAGTATGCGTCAGTCAGGGCAGCACTTAGAGGTGAGCAATTACCAAGTAGAGTTTAGGGCCTAGGGCTGGTGGAGATTTCCTTGTATGCCGTTGGCCCGCGGTCGACGCTGAATGCTACTGGGTGCCTGCCCTAAGTCGCCGCGCACCGCCGAAAGTCGCAACAATCCCGCGTCACCTTGCGGAAACGCATTGCAAAGCCACACAATCCACTATGTCGATGACTTCTTGCGTGCTTGTTTGTGCAGCGTCACCTTGCGCAAACACAGTGTCAAGCCATACATGATGACGTCTTGCATGTTTGTTAGTTCAGCGTCACCTTGCGGAAACGCAGTGTCAAACCATACAATCCACTTCTTCGATGACATCTGGCATGCTTGCTTGTATAATTAGCGTCACCTTGCGGAAACACGTTGTCAAGCCACACAATCCGCTTCTTCGATGACGTCATTTGGGCAGTGCCACCTTGCGGAAACGCATCGTCATGACGTCTAGCATGCTTGTTTGTACAGCGTCACCTTGCGGGAGCGCATTTTCAAGCCGTACAATCTGCTTCTTTGACGACGTCTTGCATGCTTATTCGAACTTGTTTGTACAGCGTCACCTTGTGGAAACGCATTGTCAAGCCATGCAGTTGGATGACGTCATTTGTGCAGCGTCACCTTGCGGAAACGCATTGTCATGACGTTTAGCATGCTTGTCTGTACAGCGTCACCTTGTCGAAGTGCATTGTCAAGCCGTACAATTGGCTTCTTTGACGACGTCTTGCATGCTTATTTGAACTTGTTTGTACAGCGTCACCTTGCGGAAACGCATTGTCAAGCCATGCAATCTACTTCTTTGATGATGTCGTCGTGCATTCCTGTTTTTGCAGCGTCACCTTGGCATTCTCACGCCACACAATGCACCATGTTGATGAAGTCTGCCAGTCCGCACTCCTCTTCATGGGGAATGGCTGTCTGCAATGGAAGTGTTGTGATGCCGCGGATGTGTGTCTCCAACGCGACTTTCGACGGCGTGCGCCGACTTGTATATCCCAGCACCACGTAGAAATACGTACTAGGGGCAAGTTTAAGTCGTCACCTTCGAAACCGCCTACTCCCAGTTGGGCAAGTCGTTAAGTTTCGTTCGTGGCAGCGCCAGACCTTGTGGAGTTGGGAATGGCTCTTAAATCGCCCTTGAAGCTTTGGACGTCAAGCCTCAAACTGCTTTCAAAGCACTGGTATTACTCTTCTGCTGCTCTTCCTCCTCCTGCTGCTGCTTGCTGCTGCCACCACGCCCACGACCACTGCCGCTGCCATTGCCACTGCTACCACTGCGACTGTCATTGCGTCATCGCCACTCCTCCTGGGCGCTGGGTAGGCAACGGAGGGCGCCGCTTACGCACTGCTTACGCGCACCTTACGCGCACCTTACGCGAATTGCGCCATTCACCACACAATTTTAGACATTTGCCAGGCTCCCGAGCCAGCAGAAGGCTGCAAATACCAACGCATACCAACGCAGAAACGAGCCGCAGCACGCAGGTATACGTGCATGCATCTGGGGGTCCGCTTTCACCTGTCCCCGGAGGTGTGCACTTGCAGAAGGGGGCATGCTTGTGAAATCGAGCGTCTACATAGGGAACGGCCGGATGCCATGACATGTTATGCCACTGATATGTGTGTCTCTTGCGTGTGCTTGCGGAATCGAGCGCCTGCATGGAAATGTGTGTAGAGACTTCTTTGAAAGATTGGCTCGTAGCGGGTTGTATGTTGTGAGCAGCGACTGAAATTGACTGAAAGCATCGCCGTTTCTTACTTGTAGCTTTTGTGGATCACAGGACGATCTTAGGGTCCCGGGCTTCAGCCTCCTTGTGATGCGGTGGTGGCTGCATTGAAGTGGGGGTTTTCTGATGTCCCGGCGGTCCCGTGGTGATGGCCAGGGCCGACAGAGAGGTGGCTCCGAAGCTCTCACCATAGAGCTGAACGATGGAGCCATGATGGGTGAACTACAGTTCCGGTCGGCAGCTGGAGCTGAGTTTGACTATTTGGTGTTCGAGGTCCTAGGGGATCGCTTCGAGAGATTGGGCCTTGCAGTAGGAGAAGTGATCGAGAAGTATGAGGTGAACAGCGATGGTATGTTTGTTGACTTGACCTATCGCGGGACGGACAGCTCTTATTATCAGTGGTACATTGACAATAAGGGAAAAGCAGGTGGGTTGCCTGCAGATTCGTACCCTGCAGCAAGAATTTTGGCATGAAGGATGTGATTCATGTTCAGAAGTGGGCGCCTATTTCTCGAAATTCAGCAAGCGATCTACTTGAGTCCTGGGGGTGTGTTAAACTGCCCCTTTTGCGTATTCCTTCCCGAAAACCCGTCACGAGCACAAGTGGAGACCGCCGCGACTCCCGACAGGTGGCTACTCAGGCCCTCCCAGCTCCTAAGGCGGAGAAGTTTGAAGAAGGCGGGGAGGCTGAGGAGGTGGAGGTTGAGGAACCTCGGCCGGCGACGAAGCGTCGGAAGAAGGCCTTGCCGCAGGGCCAGCGACCGCCCACGGCCTTAGATGCAATGCTCGACGAAACTTTGGAGGAGCCCAGAGGCGAGAGCAAGGACAACAAAGTTGAGAAGAAGTTGGGGGAGCTCAGGGCGAAGCTCATGGGCAAGAAGGCGGAGGTCAAAGGGAAGGAGCCCGGCTCAGTGTTGGCTGGGCGGGCGATGGAGGTTGCTGAGAAGGGCAAGCCGAAGAAGGTCAGAAAGGCAGATTCCGTGGCCAGATCTATTCAGAAGGCCTTGGTAAAGGCTAGCCGGAGCCGAGGCTCGAAGGAGGAGGCCTCCTCAGATGACAGTGAGGGGGAAGCCGAGGATGAAGAGGACGAGCTGGACTTCGGTGGCAGCGGCGGCTGGGAACAGCGGCGCCGCAAGCTCAGAAGGATTGCTGAGGAAAAGCCTGGCAAACTTTTGCTGTCCGGGTTGCAAAGCATGCAGGAGCAGTTGGGGCAGATCTCAGGCGAGGATGGTTCGGCGACTTTGAGCCCAATTATGGTGCGTTACTTGATGACGATGGTCTTGCCAGCCCACCCCGTGAAGAGCATAGGCGAGAGCAAGTATAGGGAATTGAGGACTTTGTGCCAAACCATGGATGCCCTGCTCAAAGGCAAAGTGGACACGGCAGGCGATATCCTCATGCAACGGTTTAAATCCCAGGTTATGGCTTTGCGGGATAACTCCGAGAAGTGCGGTCGCTTCCTGGAGCTCATCCCCGAGGACTCGGTTGGGGTAAGCCCCGAGGAGACTTTCTTTGCGCGGGATCTCGCGCACAGGACGGCCAAGGCAGATAAGCTCCTGGGCTAGGGAGTCCGCGGGGGAGCGCTCAAGCCAACGAGCCTCCCTCAACGCGACCCCCTTTACACCAGGCACCCGAAGGAGGAGGCCCCATCGGCGGAGGAGGCACCAGCCGAGACACCGAGGTCACCCAGCAGATCACCTTTGGTTCGGAGGAGGGGGAGCCCTACCAGGCCGAAGGAGGAGAGGAAGGTGACGTTTCGGGAGGAGGTGACCACGGAGCCGATGGCAGGCCGCATGAAGATGTCAGTTTCAGCAGCACGAAAACAGACACCGAGGATCGCCAACGAGACGAAGAGAGCATGGAAGGACAGAGTGTTCAAGACGGCGAGGGGCGAGCTCTAGGGGTGTTGGCCCCTGCGGGAAGTAATCCGGGTGTTGGCCCGTGGGTTTTTAATTTTTAATGGCGGCTGCCAGCCTGTGCCCTGTACAGAGCCCGGTGTTGGCCGGGTGGCGGGCATGCCTTTGATGAGCTGAAAGGTGTTATGCTGGAGGGTTGTGATATGCTTTGTGATCGAAGGCTCCATGGTCTCCTACGTGAAGGTTTGCCGGATAAGCGCTGTGTGTTGCAATTGGGCATTACGCTGCTACAGCTCCTGTTGCTTTCCCCACGAGATAGGGCTCTTTGGTCCGGAGTGTCAGCTCTGGTGAAAAATACAGCCACGCCAACTCTGCGGGACAGGGATTTGTTACCACTTCCTATCCCGCCTTTAGGGGCTGTGTTGCGTCTGTGCAGGCAACTGGCGAGGAGATCATCCGGACTACTTGTGTGGGACCCTCGGAGCTTAGACCATTTAGGAAAGCAACAAACCCGAAAACTGGTGCGGGCCAGTTGTTTCCAGTTGTGGAGGTTGCTAGTGGTTGTTACGATCAATGGTGAATATTTTGACTGGTGTGGTCCGGGTTTTGCTCTTTGCGATTTCCCGGGTAATATCTGCCAAGCGGAAGCTTTCGCCCATTTGGATGAGTTATGCCGGTACTTCTCAAGAGATCCTCTTTGTGAAAATTGTGGCCTCACCCCGGATGCGGTGCTTAAGACCAAAGGTGTTGATTACACGGGGGAAGAAGCACTGCACGCGCTTCCTTTGAAGGTGGGGGAG